GCAACCCTGGAGAAAACAGTGCCCTCCTGTGGTCCAAGAAGGAATAGCATAACAACCGTAAAACTCCATTTAAAAAGTTCCTTTCTCTTTGTGGCTGCGATACCTACTTTGACCACAGGATGGCACAATTTTCTACACGTTACCGATAACTTTGAAGTCATAGGACGGAAAACTCTGCCCTCGTGTGGCCAAAACAGGTACTGTGGCTGGAAAAAGAAACCCTTTTAATGGCATTTTAAGGTTATTAACCTGTATCTTTATTGTTAACGTCTTATTAATATTTATTAAAGCAACGGGAGGCCCCTTTGCTGCAACACAGGAACTGGAAAAGAAATCCCCTTCAAAAGCCTTAACCGGAGTTAAGGAGGCCTGTGATGGCCTATTGATATTAATAAAGTTTTAATAATAAAGAATAACAACCCTAAAACTCCATTTAAAAAGTTTCTTTCTTTTGGTTGCTCCGATCCCTGCTTGAACCCTTAGGAAGAACGAAGGAACTAGGAGGAGAGAGAGGAAGGAACAGAAGGGGAGAAGAAAGGTTGGAGTAAAGGTAAAGGTTTACCCGGAGCAGCCCTTAAAAAGTAAAAATGAAAAATGAAAGTTAAAAGGTCGTTTTTTACCAACGGCGATGGAGGTTGCACAGGAGACGGACGGGAAGTTGCGCTGACGCTGGGAAGGTCGCTCCGAGAAGCGCTGGTACGGAAAAAATCGGCGACCGTGCTTTTTCTGCCTGCTGTTCCTTCTTGGACCACAGGAGGGCACTGTTTTCTCCAGGGTTGCGGAGCTGGCACGGAAGAATCTTAAAATGCCATCGAAAAGGTTTCTTTCTTTTTGTGGCTGCGATACCTGCTTTGACCACAGGAGGGCACAATTTTCTGCACGTTAGCCATAACATTTTCAAGTCATGGGACGGAAAACTGTGCCCTCGTGTGGCCAAAACGGGTACTGCGGCTGCAAAAAGAAACCCTTTTAATGGGATTTTAAGGTTATTATCCTGTACCTTTATTACCTTTTGACCACAGGTGAAGGCTTTTGAAGCAAGATTCTTTCTTTTTGCCCGTTATGGAGCTCCTGAGCCTCCCATTGCTCTATTAATATTAATAAAGCTTTTAATAATAAAGAGACAGAATAATAATCTTTAAATGCTAGTAAAAAGGCATTTTTACTGCTATATCTGCTTGGGCCACAGGAGGGCACCGTTTTCTGTCCCTTAGCAATAGCTTTGAAGGTATCGAGATATTACTTTATCGTGGTGGTAGGCTGTGTGGAGAACCCTAACCCCTAACCCTAACCCGACCTTTGACACCCCCTGACCTTTAACCTTTGACCTTTGACCTCTGCCTCCCAGCGATTTACCTCCTTGCAACAAGCAACAAGAAGAAACAGCCCATTTCAGCTTCAGCACAGCCTAATTAGCACAAGTTGATTGGATCCGCAGCCCGACTCTCAGCTGTTTTGCCTGGCCTCTGCTGCTTGCTGCAAAGAGGTAAATGGCTGGGAACAATTTTTTTTTTTGTGCTACTCAAGCTATGTTAAAAATAAAAATGAAAGTAAAGCAGCCTATTTTGCTGTAACGAGGCAAAATTGCTGAGAGGAAGAGGCAGATTTCTTTTTCTTGTTTTCCTCACCAAAAAAGGTAGGTGCATCTTAGAGTCCAGGGCATCTTATACTCCAAAAATCACAGTATATGCCGTTCGTCTCCTTGATAAGACGACTGTCTTATCAGGGAGACTGTAGCAGGCTACAGGCAATCTTCTCCGCAGCGTAAGAACAAGAAGGATGCATTGAATTTGACACCACCGATTTCTCTACGAAGCCTCTGCAACAACACTTGCCCGCAAAACCCCCAGATTACAAGACTGGGGCTGTTCATCTTAGAAAAAGAGCCACGTGCTGAGGTGCAGACGTGAAGGGGAGGATGCCGTTCTCCCCCTCAAAACAGCAGTCCTAACGGATTAGGACAGGCCAAAGAAAGTCTTTCCTCAAGAAATTAGCGTTAATGTACAGAATCTGCTTCCGTGGGGACGAGGTGATGGCCACCGACCTCAATGGACTGAAAGGGGGGACGATGGAGGGGACTGTTTGTCATGAGGCTACGTGCTGCCTGGGGCGATGAGGGCTAGATGCTTGAGCTGAAGGAGGCTTTCCTGTCCTACTTCTTGGGCTTTCAACCGTCCAATGGAAAGCAAAATCTGAGCTGGCTTTAACTGAGTAAGAGTGTCAAGACTGCCGTTGGAGATTCGGAGGGCAAAGGAGCCCGGGTGGCCTAGCGGAAGAGGTGGTGGAGGACGGAGGCGGTCCCTCTGACTAGGGACGGGTGCAGGGAGGAGAATGGGACCGAGGGCCGGTCCTTGGAAGTGGATGGCTGCAACCGGTAAGAGAATGGGGTTCCCGCGCTTTTGAATATTTCAATTTACTGAGAAGAAACAGCTACGGTATCTTATATAAGCCTTAAGCAGGTGATGGGTCCAGCTGAAAAATCTACATTGTCAAAAATGTGTAAACTGCAAAATACAGGTATAATTTTATTTACGGTTTAATATAGTATTAACAATGATAGGCAATCTGGCCTGACTATTTGCACTGAAATATGAACAACTCCTTCTCTCAAAGTATATCCCCAAAGGACGGCTATCAGGGAGATATGCCGGTACTGCTCTGTCCCTCGTGATCGCTTTAGAGGTGCGATTGGCCTCTGCCTTGAAAGATCCTGGATCCCGGGGTCTCCCCGGTTGCTGTGTCACAGCTGGATACTCACGGATTGGTGCGTGAAGGGCCACGTGTTCCTGGGATGGCGTGGAGTACTTGTACTGCTTGCCACAGAATTCACAGGTATAGTTGCCTGTTTCTACAAAGTAAGAAAACAATTTTCAGAAGGAGAAAAGGTTTTCCCAAAAACCCTTGACCCAAACGTGGATCTCAATTCAGAGCGTAGCAGGCTAGACGTTTCCCACGTGACCTCGTGAGATGAGTTCCAAGTTTTCTTGACCGAGGGGGCCCTGGGCACCCACCTTCATGGTAACTGTTTCCTCTGTTTTGCCCCAGCTCTCTTTCCTGGAGAGAGGCTGAAAAGACACGGCTGCTACAGAGGCTAGACTTCCTTTTGCAGAAGTAGCGTTTGGGAGTGGGCTGTATAAACCGTCGCAGACAGCAAAGGCCAAGTCGCACTCTCATCAGCGCTTACGAGGGGTAGTTAGCATCTCAGATCGAGATCAATTTCTAGTTTTAATATCGCTCCCCACCCTCAATTTCACCCTATTCCCGAAGAAAACATGGTAACGTAACAAGGAATGCGGCAGCAATCAAATTAAAACACTGCAAAATTGTAATGGACTTTTTTTTATCCCAGAGGACAAAACTTAGACGATATCTTCCCCTTTAATGAAGAGCTCTTGGTGAATTCTAAAATTAAGTCATGAGACATGCAAGTGGAATGTTTTTCCTAGGTCTGAATATAATTATTAAAATAAATAACATGCGCTTAATTCCTTCTCTTTGCAATAAAGTATTTACATCTAAATACTTTGGCCAAATTGGATTGTTTTAACCAGATGCTTATAAAAGTATGTAACGTTAAGCGAGAATAATTTTATAATTCCCCGACTCAACCGTGTTTGTTTCTTCTCTGTGTCAAACGTGGAAGATTAATTTTTTGGTTTACTTAGGAGTGCTATTTGCAAGCAGGTTGCTTGTCTCCTGACGGATGGCCACAGTCCGAGTTCGAGCTGTTGCTTTGCGTGCAAAAGGTCCAGGTTCACCCCTGCGTTTCCAGGGAAGGGCTGGGAAAAAACCCTCTGCTTGAACGGATGTTCAGAGCCCTGCAGCCGGTCAGTGCCGATAGTCGTGGGACAGATGGACCGACGAGCAGACCTGATACCGAGCAGCTTTCGGGCATCCTGGGAGTTGTTCTGCCTGGAAATCTGCCTTGGAAAAATCTGCCTTGGAAAACCTAGTGGTTGCTATCGGTGCTCCTTAAACAAACCCCGGTGAAAGATACATCCAAGGAAGATTTTCCGACGTGTCACCAGCCGTGCCCAGAGGAATCGAGTCCGGGTCCCGCACAGGCAAAGAATGTGCTCTTTCTGTTGGACTAGTGAGAGCTTCCTGCCTTTGCGAGAAACGCTCCATCCCTGGCTTGGGCCTGAAACCTCAGCTCTGAAACACTGAAAGCTGGTTAATGACTTAAGTTGCAAACTCGGTCAATCGTACTTGGACCGATCTTCTGAAAGGGCTCGGGCTCCTCTTCTTTCACCTCCTCCTTGGCAATCGTTGCTTGGTCGTAGGGGTCTGCGAGAGGAGAGAAGGAGGAGAGAGCTGATCGGGGAGTGTGGAAACGCCTCCCTGGCTTTATCCCTCGGGCCCTGCTCTCATCCTTAGTCTTAAATAGACTAACATACATTTCACACGTGTATAGTATTTTTACTGATTATATTTTTCTTGATAATCTCCCTATTAAAGTGACTAATAATAAGATGCGTGTTTCCAATTCGGGATATAAAATTTGCACTTATGATTTCTTTTTAAAGTGTGACAACTTGATTGCAAAAAACTGCAGTCGTTCTTAACAAGAGTCAGAATGCTTCCAAAAAGCAACACAACCGGCCTACCTCTACCAAGAGGCCACAACACTCTCCTATCCACCAAACAGGCACTCTTTCTCCCAACGGAGTGGATTAATCTCTGCACACACCCACGGGTGCTTCAAACTGCAACACGGCAGGGCTTCCGGCTCCATTCTCCATCCATTGAGCATTCGCCCGAATGCTCCTCGGTCAAAGACTTCCTAAAGTGTTGGAATCATTGAGCCAGAAGTTTCTATTGGCTGAAACTTTATTGCCAAAATTTGTATGATATTATGTCTCTAAACTAGCTGGGTATATGTAGATAAGCACACACACAACAACAACATTCCAATGGTTTCCCTTGGATTTTGATTTTTCGCATCACCCAATGGTGTCAACGGCCCTGCACAAAAGCTCCCCTCCCCAGCTTCTTTCCATAAAATGCAGGCCGGGGTTACCTGCGAAGAGCTCTAAGCGATAACTAAAGGTCCTGAGAACGGGTGCCGGAGCCTGCAGGCTTGGGAGGAGCCTGCAGGCTTGGGAGGAGCCTTGGGAGGAGATGGGAAGCTCTAGTCCCGTGATGGTGAACCTGTGACATGCGAAGCCATATTGGTGGGCATGCGAGTGTTGCCCTAGCTCAACTCCAGCGTGCATGCACATGCTGGCCAACTGATTCTGGTCCCACCGGAAGTCAGGAAAGGAGACGAAACAAAACCCTAACCCTAAACCCTAACCCTAACCCTAACCCCAACCCCAACCCCAACCCCCAAGCCCAAGCCCAAGCCCAAGCCCAAGCCCAACCCCAACCCCAACCCCAACCCCAACCCCTAACCCTAAAACCCTAAAACCCTAAAACCCTAAACCCTAAAACCCAAGCCCAACCCCAACTCCAACCCCTAAAACCCTAAAACCCTAAAACCCTAAAACCCAACCCCTAAACCCTAACCCCCCTAATCCTCCTAACCCCCCTAACCCCATTCTAAATTATTGGATGGTATCTCAAGGTGTACTTCCACTCCCAACTGTAGATTCATAGAACAAAGCCCTTTTTGGCTATTGGTTGCCTGATTGCGGAGGTTTTCTGTTGTCATGGACGCGTCCGCTTTCTAATGATGCTAACAGCTGGAGGGGATAGAACTGTCCCTCACCTACGACTTCTTGGATGAATGTGAAGACGAGGGGAGACTACATTAAAACTCTGGTTGCCGTTCTCAACAAATGCATGTCTCACTCTCCACAGAGCAGGTATGAGGCCCCTGCATCCGTGGTTTCCCTACCCTTGTCCCAAGCTGAATTCTGACTGTGTCAACAGCCAGCTTTGTTCTTCCCCCAATTCCCACCTCGCTTAGATGTTAAGGCCACCTCATTCTTGCCCTGCTTTGTAAGACTCCCACTGTTAAAGTTGCAACTTTAGACATATCGCAGCTGTTTAAAATCAAACCCTTTAGCCATGGAAATTAACAACCCCACTAATAGTTAGGAGATAAATTGTTTTTTATCAAAAATTTTAGCTTTCGTTTTTTAATGTTTCGTTTTCAACAACTGCTTAATGAAAACTCACTGAGAAATGCATGAAAACACTCTAGCTGCCTAACCTAACTGCTTTGTTTACACATTAATAACCCCATTCTCTGGTTTCACAATAACTGTTATGTCATGTGAACACAGCCAATGTGTTCCTATGTAGTTTATAAGTAAAGTGCTTGCTTAAAGTTGACAAATTTAACAGCTGCTTAGTTCACCATGGCATTTCCCATGCATTTGACACTCAAGGTCATCTAGTCCAATCCTCTGACCAAGCAGGGGACACTACACTAACACCAGGGGTATCAAACTCAATTTCATTGAGGACCACATCAGAGTTGTTTTTGACGTCGGAGGATCAGGGTGGGTGTGCTCATTGTGGCCATTTGACACACACTCAAGATGCATTTTCCCCCCTTTGCATTCAAAACAGCTATTCCCGACAAAAGGAGATTTACTTTCTGGCACAAATAGTCTCAATTCCATAATGTAGAGATTAAAGACATGTAGAGTCCCCAGCTGCTATGGGGCTTGACTCTTTTGAATAGGAGCGGATCTAAATATGTGCATAATGTTGTCAGAACAGAGATGTTCAAAAGACTAATGTAAGACAACCTAAACAACATCCAGGGTATTATATTTATACTTACTGGGTTGAATGATAAATGAACATTTAGAACCTTAAAATACTTTAAAACAAAACAATTCATTTCTCTTTAATTCATCCTTTTTTCTCTTTAACCATCTCCTTTTTTGTCTTCTTGTATTAATCCATCTGCCTTATTTATCACATTTTTCCATCGCCAAATAACAAAATCGTACACTCTTCGTTATTGCTTGGGCAATATCAACTCAGGTTTCCCTTTTCCCTGTTGAATCTGTCCTTTGAAATATTAATTAACTCTATGTGAATACTTTACCTGACCCTCCCATTTTTCATTTTTAATAGAGTTCTTTGAAAACATTAAAATTTTATTCCAGATATCCATTGTAAAGAAGAACGCTGTACAACACAACAAAAATCATCACAATATATTGCTAAAGGTCTAGAAAGATTCAGAAAATATGCATGCTTTTCCAGGTCCTGGAAATGGACCTGAAACATTTCCAGGTCCATTTGGACTACAACTGGATACACAATTAAATCTCACTGACTTCACTGAGTTTTATGCGTAACTGACAAAAGCTGCCTTCTAACTGCCACATTTGCATATTATCCAGTCATAATATAATTTGATTTTGGCTGTGTGTGTTCTGTAAATTCGGCCATTTGTGCTTTACGTAGTAAATCACAATTTAGAAACAACCACTGGACGTTTTTACATGACATACTGCATTTAAAAAAAAATATTATAGTTTGTGCATACTACCATATCCTACATCCAATCATGTTCTGTATTTTAAGTTTTGAGGCTCACTATATTGTTTACAAACCATTATGGGGGACATAACACAATCCAGTTATAAATCAAAGCCAAACAAATTACATTACAGCCACAGATTAGCAACTGTATGCACCAGTGGTGGGTTTCAAAATTTTTTACTACCGGTTCTGTGGGTGTGGTTTCATGGGCGTGGCTTGGTGAACGTGGCAGGGGAAGGATACTGCAAAATCCCCATTTCTCCCAATCAGCTGGGACTCGGGAGGCAGAGAATAGATGGAGGCGGGGCCAGTCAGAATTGTTACTATCAGTTCTCCAAACTACTCAAAATTTCCACTAACGGTTCTCCAGAAGTGGTCAGAACCTGCTGAAACCCACCTCTGGTATGCACAGCATAGACTGTGCTCTGGGCAGCTTTTGAGTGATACTAGAAAAATGAATTTAACCTAAAGAAAGAGGGCTTAAGCGGCTTAAGCTAAATGTCACTTGGATCTTGAAGAGGACACAGCCTAAGAAATTAAATCCATTCCAGAGAAGGTGGAAACTATTATGCAAGCCCCACCTGAGAAGCTGGATTTGCTGCATTCTTATCTTGTGAAATATATAGTGATATATATATTAACAAAATTTATATTTTGTTGATAAAGGTTTGTCATGAATGCGACTGCTTGAGGGCTCCTGGATTGGAGGCTTGACTTATCTCCCAACTTTTTCGTGACTGATGCCAGTCCTGTGGGACTGAGTACCTCTGGTAGATCAAAGTTGCCTGTTGTGAATGTCAACCATTCACATTCTTCTCTGGAAAAACCTGTGAAATTATGGGAAATTCTAAATTAATTCTAATCCATTTGTGTTGCTCAAAGATCACAAATCACTCGTGTTCATGCTTCAGCTAAAGGCACATTTTGCCATCTCACATCCAACTGCCTCAGTTTGAGTGCAACCTTGTAATCTTGTTATTCAGCACATTTCTGGAAAAATGAATGGAGCTGATTCCTTATCACATTTTCCATTACTTATCTTGGGATCAAACTTACTGGTGGAAGGTACTTTCAGCATCGATTTATGTGTGATGACTTTTGACGCATTATTATTATTAAAAGAATACCTTGAAAGAGAATTATGAAAGAGGCTTTCATAAATTTTTGATTTATGAGCAAATCCAAAAAATGAGCCTGAAAGAAATCTTGCTCAGCTGTGGCCACTGAAACATGTTGATGTTGAACTTACAGCGATTGCTTGTCATGTTGTTCAGAGGACAAAAAATTTAGGTGAAGTAATTATTACTACAGGAGAGAGTCACAAGCTAGGTTAGAGAAAGTTGAAAGCTTCAGAATAAATGAAAATTCTTCATCTGAAAGAGAAATCAAATGCTTGGGTATAGGATGGGAGTTATCTGGCTTGGCATTTGTGAAAAATATCTTGCAACAGTGAATTGAATATGAGCCAACAGTAAGACATGGCTGTGGAACAATGAAAAAAGAACTTTAGGCCTCGTCAACAGAAGTGTAAAATGCAAATGCATATATTTATTAGACTTATAATGCCACCCCATTCAAACGTGACTCTAGAGAAACCATGGAGTTTTCCATGGGGAAAAAGCTTGTTCCAAATAATTCTATTCTGAGTTAAATAACTTCAGTACTGTGTTCAGTTCTGAATTCCAAGTTTTAAAAATAATTCAGAGAAATTAGAACAGGTTCAGAGAAGTTGTTGGGGAGTTTTTGTGAGTTTGCCCATTTTGATGCAAGGCAGAAGGCTTTTGCTTCTCTCCATAATTTGGTGAGCCAAGACTGACCGTCAGGCACAATGCGACTCAACCCCCCTCCATCCAGTTAGAGGCGCCACCCGCTCCAGGGGCTCTGGGTGCCTTAAAACATCATTACTAACAGCCTGTGAATCTGTAGACGTGATTCTGGATGTGACCGTTTGCCATTCTCGTTCTCTGTTTCAACAGCATCTGAAAGTCCGCCCTTTGGCCTAACCAAGATGGCCCCAAAGAAAAAGCCCAAAGGGAAGAAGGGCAAAGGCAAGGATGGGGCTGTGAGTCCTTCAAGTGCTGCACCTTTTGTGAGTGAGAAGGAGGAGCGCTTGCAGAAGGAACTTGACATCCTTTCCGAACATATTGTAACCTACTCTCAGCGGCTGCGGCACTTCCAGACGGAAAACGAGTACTTAGACAAGGAAGCCCAGCAGGTCCGAGAGGCCAGCAAGGTCTACCTCTCTTACTTAACCCGAAGAACCGTCCGTTGTCAGAATGCCATCATTTCCCTGAATGACCAGAATCGGTTTGACCTCTCTCAGATCCAGAAGCAGAAAGCAGAGGTGGCTGCTCAGTATGCCGAGAGAGAGAGGGAGGTGAGGCGCCAGCTCATTGAGCTGGAAAACAAGCTCTTCCTCCTGAACAGGGACGTGGCTGAGCTGCAGCCCTGGCAGGATCTGCAGCTTCGGCATCTGACCCAGATACGGGACCTGGAGAAGGAGCTGCTGATCACCAAAATACAGCACGCCGAGCAGATGCACAGAGTCAAGAGCCGTTTCCTTCACCAGGCAGCCGAATATGAGATGAACGCTGAGCAGAAGGTCCAAATTCTGGCCAAACTGGCAGAGGAGGCGGCGGTACGCAGTCTAATCCAGCACACCAAGCAAGTGAAAGCCGACAACTGGAGTCTGCAGAATGAGCTTCTGAGCCTCATTAAGCAAGCCCAAATGCTCAAGGCTTTTCTGAGTCACTTGCGGGAGCAGCAGCAGCGACTTTTTCAAGAACACCAGTGCAGGCAAGACCTCGCACGCAGGCGCTCCTGGCTGCAGCAGCGTTGTGGCTCTTGCCAGGTCGTCACTGCCGGCACCAGCTTTCGTTGCACCCCACCAGCCAAGAGCAAGCTTGTCTCCTCTTCCGCTCCAGAGGCCAGCCTGCTGATTGTGCAGGAATCCGGGCCCCTCCCAAGCGGCTACGAGCCAGAAAGGATGGCCGCGCCTCCCTTTCCCACACTCAGTGCCTGAATGCCCCACCACCAGGGTGGGGGCTCCCTCTCCTGGCCCCCGCAACCAGCCACAGCCCCCCACGGGTGGTCTTTCACTTCAGTTTCTTTCCCAGATGAGGATTGAGGCGGCTCTCTTCCTGGAAAGCAGCACCTGTGATGCTCATGCTAGTGAGTCTGAGCTGACACCCACAGCCAGGGCCACTCTTACCTTCGGGGGTGGTGGCAACGTATTTTATGGCTGTTTATTCTAAATGTTCTGGGGTTATATTGGTCCTTGGTTTTATTGCAAGTTTCCCTGACAAATTGCATAGTAAGAGAGGTCACAGAAACCAATGTTAAAATAAATGTTATTTTTAAAACTTCCATCATTTGGGGCTACACTTTGGAGAGATTTAGGAAATGCCACAGATAAATATGTGATAGCACAGACCCATTGTGCAAGTTTTAAGATGCAGATTAGATGCCAGACCCACTGACAGATCCAGGTTCTCCAAGGTAAATTGCTTCTCTTTTCTGCATTTGGCAAGCACATATAAAAATGGACCAAATTTCCAAGAGCTCTTTCTTAGATATGGATGATGGAGCACCTCCATCGTCTCCAGAGGGTTTAGGACAACTCGCCGAGCCACAATTCAACACTGGATAACTCAAGAAAGGGACAATGAATTGCAGCGTGCCTCGTCTCGCTTTAGCTTTGAACCTTCTCACCACTATGAACCCTGGTGGCGCAGGGGCAAGAATGCCATATTCAAGGCTGAACCCCATTGCCAGAGGTTTGATCCTGACCAGCTCAAGGCCTTCCATCCTTCCGAGGTTGGTGAAAGGAGTACCCAAATTGTTGGGGGCAAGAGGCTGGCTCTGTAAACCACTTAGAGAGAGCTGTAAAGAACTGTGAAGTCTATTGTTATTGCTTCTCAAGTTAGAAGCGCTCAAGGTTGGGGTGAGCCAGAGCATGGTATGCACCATTCATTAGTCCCTCTCTTGTGCTAACCTGCATTGAATTGTTCCACAGTGAGTTGGCAGTGGTGAGATGCCTGTGAGTTGTCCCATTCCGATCTTCAGGAAGTTGGCCCAGAAATTCCTCATTTTGAGTTTGGATCTCCCTCTGTAAGCCTCCTCCCGTCCTCAGGAGCAACTTCCCTGATGTCCAAGCATCGGAAGAGCGTCTGTGGTCTTCACTTCTTTAGGCTAAACATGCCCAGTTTGTAGAAACGTAGGGTAGGTTTGTCCCTTGATACTTCTCCTCCCCCTTGGACACCTGATTTCCAGTTCTCCTGGACCATCTGGGATTCTTTCTCCTCCTTGCCAGCACCACAGAAGCCCCCCCCCCCCGCCCCCCAGTGGAGTATGCTGTGGCCTCTCAGCTGAAAGGACCCTGTTTCCGGCTGGCTGCACAGGTGACAGAAGAGCCAAGGCCATGCACTGCTGGAGAGCAGAGGTCTGGACAGTGTTCTATCCTGCCACAAAATGACTTCTGAGTGGTCTTCGGGCCCAAAAAGAGCCCCCAAGGCCACTTACCCACAGCAAGACAGCCATTAGGAAATGTGACTTTAGCAACTGAGAGGACAGTCTTCCCTGTGCTGCATGGGTTTAAATGGCCTCCAAGTGTTCCCAGAAAGAAGACAGCACTGGTCTTGGGCCTACAAGACTTCTTCCCGCTGTAGAGGTCTCTAGGTCAAAGTAGGGGAACAAGCACCCCTAGCTCGGCTTCCAAACCCTTTCCCAACCTTTTTATGAAAAGTCCCCAATGCTCATCTGCAGATCCTGGGAATGCAGGGCCGGTTGCAGGGCCAGAAAGGAAGGGGGAGCAGCAGCCCCACAGGCATGGTTTGTGCCACATCTCTGCAACCCATTTTCCAAACTTCTCCCATGGATTAAGTTGGGTCCCATTCTGGAAAGATGCCCTACTGGCAGACAAATGGACGACCGCAGCCTGAGATGGTCAGCCTCACTTCTCTCCATCATGCCTGATGTTGATTCCCATGCAGGTGCCAGTAGGGGGCAACAGCGGCATTATTGAGGAAGGGGACACACAAAGACATCCCTGGCTGAATGCCCCCCCCTCCCAAATGCTCTGAGATCCCTCTCCCAGCCTCCCATGGACCTTCCGGAGGGGCTCCTGCAGGATCAGATGGGACGGAAGTGGAGAAAACACAGCAGAGCTCTTCAGAAAGGTCCTTGGAAGCAGAGAGCGGACGAACCCCAGCTGGGCAGGGACTCCAGCTGGAAACTAGCCCCCTGGTCAAGACCAACCCAGTGCCCGGGGTTCAAAACCCAGCCTACATTGAATAAAAAACAGGCACTGCCGATTTTAATCCATGTAGAAAATACTTTTATCTCAGAAGCTTTTTCGGGGAGGGGGAGGCTTCGTTTGATTGTGAGATCAACACACAGGTTGGCTAGCTTGGGTGTTTAAAAAAACCTGTCACTTGGCTGGAACCAGGCAACGTCTCACGTTACCCAGGGCTTCCTTCTCTTGGTGGATCCCAGGAGTTTGGGGTCATGACGGATCAAAGACGTGACTGAGTTGAGCCCTCTGCCTGCCCGAGGGACGCAGAAAGAGGAGGAGGACTGCCTGCCTGCCTCCCTCCCTCCCTGCTGCAGGTGACCAGAGGCCACACTTAGAGCTGCTGGGGACTGGGAGCAACCGCTGGGGGAGAAGCACCAGAGACAGGCAGATTCTGGAGGGCAGACTTGCAGATGGTCCCATAGGACTGGGAGTAGCTGCCCAGGTGGGCCTTGGGGTCACCAGCTATTCCGACATTTGCTGTAACCTGGAACATTTTCTTGCATGGCTTCAGAAAGAAATGAGCTTCCCTGCCACGGGATTCAGGGTTCTGTGGATTCTGATAAGAACGAAGAGGGGAGTTGAGGCTAAATCGAAGATGGACAATTGGAAGAGCGGGGCAGGATCATTAAGGGTATTTAGTACAACCACATCCTGCATTCTTCCAGAAACTCAAGGAGGAACGTAGCACTCTTCCCCCCACTGATCCCACACAACCACTGCCCAGGGAGGAAGGCGTTTCCCCATCCCAAGGCCATCTGTCTGCCCCTCAGGTTTTTCTGGCCAGGAAAAGTGATCCTGGGCCGTTTCAGAGGAGCCCTCCAGCTGGAAGGCAGCCAAGCCTAGGACTATGGGTCAGGACAGTTTCACTCACCAGCCCCGCGGCAGCCCTGCTGGGAAGGGCCCCCTTCCTCGTCAGATGCTGGTTGAGGGCTGCTTCCTGAGCCTGGCTGAGCAAGGTAAGAGGTTTGAAGGGGGACACGGCCTGGCTTGTTGCCCCCGGCCCCTTTGGCACCTGTTGAGGCAGATGACAGAGATGGAGCTCGAGTGGTACTCCAAGATTCATCCACTCCCTGCATCAGTGTGTGACTCTGAACTGCAAACAACTCCACCAGCCTGGCCTCACACAACTCCCCCAGCAGCCCACCCAGATTAAAGGAAACCCAAGGCAGCCCCACCGGACAGAGCATTCTTTGCTTTGCCAGGCAGCCCGTCCAAAGGCAGAAACACGTCCCCCCGTATTCCCTTTCTTGGAAGCCCTTCTGAACATTTCCTACGAGCTGAGAACCCTTGATCAACAGGAGGAAAATGTGGCAGCACTCTGGAATCAAAATGAGAGGGAGCCAGGAGGATCTCCTCGGGTGAAGCATGCCAGCCCCCAGGGAGATGGCGTGGCAACTGGAAAGGACCTCCTGCAAGACCTGGGAGCTCCTGTGATCCTGATGGAGGCCTGCAATCCTGGAAGGTCTAGATCAGCAAGAGGCAGAGCGACTCACGTCCCAAAAAGTGGAGGTGCCCGCTGCTCTCTGATACTGCCGAAGGCGGGAGGGAGGTGGACCCATCGCCACATTGCCAGCAGGCAGGAAATCTTTGGAATGGGAAGAAACATGAAAAAGAGAGAGATGGGTAAATCACAGGCAGGAATAGACAACCTGAGGCTCCAAGGTCCCAAGAAGGTTCCATACCCATTATGGACTACTGAGGGCACAGATAAACCTCAAAGTGATCCCAACGACTCTCAGAAAGAGTGTTAACAACTAGGTGACTGCAAGGAATATAAATTCTTCCATTCTCCACCATTTAGTCAGGACTGAGGAGGTTTCTTGGATGAGAAGTGAAACATCTTCAAGGAAAAAAAACAAAGTCCAGGCACCTTTTGAAAAAGCATCTTTGGGACATCTTGAATGTAATTAATCTATCCATGGAAACATGTATTCATTTGTGGCAGGAAGGCAAATTCTTGCAATATTTTACTATACCTTTGCAAGGAGAATACACTTACTTTGGGCAGATGCATTAACAGTAGGACTGCAGACTGTGGAGCTCAACTTTGGCTTTGGGCAAGGGTTTCTTGACTCATTTGCTCTCCGCTGGGAACTTGCCACAAGAGGTGGTGGAGACCCATGGGATGGAAGAGGTTGTGTCCCTCCCTTCATTGGACAGTGGGCTCTGAGAGGGGAACTGGCATCTGTGGAACCAGATGGAAGAGGAAATCCCTGGAGGGGCTGCTTCTGAGCTTGGCTACTGGCCTTCCATTCCAAGATCAACTGGAAAGAAGAAAGAGAGAGAGAGAGTAAGAGGGAGGGAGGGAGGGAGGGAGGGAGGAAGGAAGGAGAGGGGAATGAGGGAGGGAGGGAGGGAGGGAGGGAGGGAAGGAAGGAAGGAAGGAAGGAAGGAAGGAAGGAAGGAAGGAAGGAAGGAAGGAAGGAAGGTGACAGGAATAACCAACATTCCAGGAGATAGGTTTAAGATACAGAAGGAACTTGACAGACTATAACATTGGGCGCTATCTAACAAAATGAAATTCAATGGTGAAAAAAAAGTAGGTAAGGTTCTAGGCAAGAAAACCAAATGCACAGGTATAATATATAGGCGGTACCTAGCTCAATAGTAGTGAGAGGGATCTTGGAATCCTAGTAGACAATCGATATAAGCCAGTAGTGTGCACCTACAACTCCAGGAGGCAAACTGTTCCATTGATTCATTGTTCTCACTGTCAGAAAATTTCTCCTTACTTCTAGGTTGAATATAGCTTCCACCCATTACTTTTTGTCCTGCCCTCTGAGGCTCTGGAGAATAAGTCAATCCCCTCTTCTCTGTGACAGACCCTCAAGTACTGGAAGACAGTTCTCATGTCCTTCCTAATCCTTATCTTTGATAGGTCAGGCATACCTAGCTCCCTTAACCATGATACAATTTGGCCTCCAAGATCCTTTTATCAGCTTTGTTGCTCATCTCTGCGCGTTTTCAAGGGTCTCAGATACTCTTTTCTGCATTGTGGTGACCAGAACTGTATTTCAAGGGTAGCCTCACTAGCACACTTCTCTCTCCTCTCTTTTCTCTCTCTCTCTCTCTCTCTTCCCCTCTCCCTAATTTTGAGTCTATCTTCCAAAGTGTTAGCAATTCCCCTCAGCTTGGTGTTTTCCGCATATTTGATGAATTCCCTTCCTATATCCTCTACAGCTTTTAGGAAGGAAGATGCTGAAGAGCACTGGGCCCGGAACAGAACCTTGAGGAACCCTACTGGATGCTTCCCTCCATGGAATGTAGTTCCATTCAGGATCACATGCAAAATTATTCTATCTTACCAAGATGTAGGATATAGTTTATCAAATGCCCTACTGAAATCTGCTACATCCACAGAATTTCCACTAATTCAGTCACTTTATAAAAGGTAAAGGTTCCCCTCGCACATATGTGCTAGTTGTTCCTGACTCTAGAGGGTGGTGCTCATCTCCATTTCAAAGTCGAAGAGCCAGCGCTGTCCGAAGACGTCTCCATGGTCATGTGGCTGGCATGGCTAAAAGCCACAGGCGCAAGGAACGCTGTTACCTTCCCACCAAAGGTGGTCCCTTTTTTTCTACTTGCATTTTTTACGTGCTTTCGAACTGCTAGGTTGGCAGAAGCTGGGACAAGTAAATGGGAGCTCGACCCATTTACGCGGCACTAGGGATTCGAACTGCTGAACTGCCGATCTTTCGATCGACAAGCTCAGCATCTTAGCCACTGAGCCACCGCATCCCTTATAGTCACTTTATAAAGAAGGCAATTACATTTGTTTGGCATGACCTGTTTTTAACAAACTCATGCTGGCTTCTAGTAATCAACTTGTTCATTTCTAGATGCTCACAAATCCTCCACTTGGTTATCTTTTCCAGGATTTTCCCAAGTATTGATGTCAAGTTGATTGGCCTATAATTTTGTAGACTGTATTTGTATTTATTAAACTTCTATACCACCCTTCTCCCGAAGGACTCAGGGTGGTGTACAGCCATATTAAAACAAACATATACTCACAAAATTTAAAAACAATTTAAAATAAATATATAAATTTGGCCCTTATGTTAAAAACTACAAACACTCAATTTAAAATTCATTTTTTTTAAGCCAGCCTGGCCTGTTGGAACAAAAGAGTCTTAAGGGCATGGCGAAAGGTACGTAGGTCAGGGATCATGCGAACCTCCAGGGGCAATTCATTCCAGAGAGCAGGTGCCCCCACAGAGAAGGGTCTCCCCCTGAGTGTCGCCAGTCGACATTGTTTGGCCGACGGCACCCTGAGGAGTCCCTCTCTGTGAGAGCGTGTTGGCCGGTGGGAGGCTATCGGTGGCAGAAGGCGATCTCGTATATACCCAGGTCCTAGACTGGAACCACATCGGTTCTTTTCCAGTGCTCTGGCAGTTCTGCTGTGCTCTGGGAGCTCTCAAATATTTCATTCATGGGTTCTGAGATCACATCTGCCAACTCCCTCCACACCCTGGGGTTTAAACCCTCTGGTCCAGGAAACTTAAAACTCGGTCAGAGCAGTTAGGTGTTCTCTAGGCAATTCCTCACCTATTTTGACCTGCATTCTTCTTTTGTCTCCCAATGTGCTGCTTTTGACAAGTTAGGCTATTTTTTCCTTTTGCATAAAGACAGATGTAAAAAAGGAATTGAACACGTTCATCTTCTCCCTGCTGCCCATCACTTTCTTGCCATTTTTTCCAGCTGGTGGACTGACCATTTCCTTGACCTTCCTCTTGCTCCTTATATAGAAACCTTTACAGGTTTATTTATAAGAAACTTTTGTTATTTTGGCATTTGTTGAAAGCTGACTTTGAGCCTTCCAGACAGTCCTTGCAAACTCAAACTACTATTTGTTGGTATTCTGCTCTAGTTACAAGCCCCTCTTTCCATCTATTACATTTCTCCTTTTTATCCCTCAGCTCCTTGTGCAACCGAGCTGCTCACATTTACTTTCTCTGTGGTATTTTGTTTGGGCCTTTGTTACCTTGTTTTCGGTTTTCCAAACATCCCAAACTGTTTTCCCCTCAGGATTTCCATCCATGAATCCTTCCTATTCTTTCTCTTAGTTTGTTGAAATCAGTTCTTAAAATCTAGAGCACTAGTCTGACTTTGTTCAGTTACCCTTACCTGCATCAAAGTAAATCTGAGAATGGCATGGTCACTTTCTCCCAAAGTTCCTACAACTTCGGGACATGCTTCTTCCTTCAGCTCTCTTAGGGCCATTAAGGATCTCCCAAGAAAAGAATTAAAGGCCCCCAGGATCCGTAGGGGCAGGGGATTACCTCATAAACTCGATTGCGATACTCAGCCACTGAGAGCTGCACATCATCAGCCAAAGGGAGGGTCACACTGTAGTCAAGAGCAGGCTCTTTGGCAGCACAGTGGAACCTACCAAGAGAAGGCCAGGTGAGCACAAGGCTGTCCGAAGGAGACTGAAACAGGCACAGAAACAGCTTTGGCCATCTGAGAGCCCAGGTGGCCGTACCAAATCTCCATGGAGCTCTCACCTCTGCACATAGGGGTGCTCCAGCGCCTCCTCTGCCGTTAGCCGCTTCTCAGGGTTAAACACCAAGAGCCGTTTCAGAAGGTCCAGGGCCTGGGCAGGAGTGGAGGCAGGCATGAGCTCCTCCAAAGACAGCTGGGGCCTGCAGCCGGACAGAAAGCACGCTGCAGTTCCGCTCCACAGAGCGCTCCCAGCCAGCTTACCCAAGGCGCTTACTGGGCTGAAAGAGGTGCCTCCTGGGGAACTGTGATCCCCTCAGCAAAAGAAAACACTCACTGGCAGCTCACACGGTTGATAACTGAGGCTCGGTAGTCAGAATGGAAGGCATCCAAATCTGCAAAGCAAAGCAACGGATCAGGGTCCTTGAGCCTAGCTTGGGCCCTAACTTCAGACAAAACAAAATGCCAGGCACTCTTTCCCTCCCTGCTCTCTCGGGCATGTCCCTGTGTAAGAGGGGCCTCCAACAGGAATTAGGCCAGACACACTGCGCTCTCCTGCCCCTGGGGAGACGGCTCCTCTACAAGTCCTTCTCCTGGATGAAGGGTAGCCAGTTTGCCCATCACATGGGCTTGATCTTGGAACCTGGCTGCCTTCCCTTCTCATTTGTCCACTTACTAGCCAAAAGCAGATCCTCCCTCCCTCCCTCCCTCCCTCAGCTCCCCTAAACTCAGGGGGGTAACAGGAGATCGGGTTGCTGATCTCCATGGACGCTCTCAGCTCCCTAGACCTCTCCACAAATTCCAGCCTTAGCATGGGGATGAACGAGATGACACCAGAGTTCCTTTCCAACTCTACGGTTCCCTTTCACACTGAGACCAGGATCAGCTCCCAAGCCATCAAGAAGGCCAGCGCCTGTGGCCAGCAGTACAACAGACAGAAAGGGGAGGGGCAAGGCGTCTCTATGGGCCACCCCAGGAGCCTCAGCCTCCTTTCTCTTTTTTTTTAATAAGTTTTTTATTTATTTTCCATTAAAAAAAAAAGATATAAACATTTCATCTCTCCTTAAACAGTGTGCCATCTGAGTACAAATATTTCTGTGCAACATCCACAAAGTATATACATTGAACAATTATACCTTCTGTAACTCTTCCTTTCCTTCATAACATATTTTCTAGTACAAATACAATAACATTAAACATAGTTATTCTCATCGTACTCATATTATCAATTGCCATTTTATTCTTATCTCTATCTTAATATATTTTCTATCCTTATTGTCTTCTTCCTTTATTTCCAATTTCCTTTTTTTCCCTCTAACCATTTATAAAATACTTCCCATATCATATAATAATCAGTTTGTTCTTTCACTTTAATTGCTAGTGTTAGTCTATTCATTTCTACACATTCTAATATTTTCCTAATCACCTTCTCTTCAGTAGGAATCTCTTCATTTTTCCAATATTGTGCAAATACAATTCTACCTGCTGTTAATACATGAATAATTAAATATATATTTTCTTTGTTATAAGTTTCAGGTAAAATCCCCAACAAGAATATTTCTGGTTTAAACTCAATACGTTGTTTTATCATCTTTTCCAACCATATCTTTATTTTTGTCCAATACTTCTTTGCTTCTGCACATGTCCACCACATATGATAATAAGATCTAGATATCTGGTGGCACTTCCAACATTTAGCTGATTTGTCTTTAAACATCTTTGCCAACCTCACTGGTGGAAGATGCCATTTATAAAATATCCTATATAAATTCTCTTTATATGCAGTTGACATCATTAATTTATAATTCCTGTCCCATAGTTTCTGCCATTTATCTAGTTCTATCGTATAACCAAAATTTTTCGCCCATGCTATCATTGTCTTCTTTACTTGTTCCTCTGCCAGTTTTTCACCCAATAAATAATTATAGAGTTTCTTTATTAATCTTTCATCGGTTCCTGTTAGGATTTTATCTAATTCTGTTGGTTTTTTATAAAAACCCTGTGATTTTACATCTTTCTCATATCTAGAATAGATATTCAGATTGTAAAGAAAGTTAAGTACCCAGGGATTCAATTGACAGCAAGATGTGTAACAATTAAAGAAGATAATTATTATAAGTTGAAACAAATTCAAATAGACCTGGAAAAGTGGAAGAACCTACAATTATCACTGGTAGGAAGAGTAGCAACAATTAAAATAAACATATTGCCAAGACTATTGTACTTATTCCAAACAATTCCGATAAAATTGGGAAAAAATTATTTGAGGAACTTAATAAAATAATACACAAATATATCTGGGAAGGGAAAAAAGCAAGAATTGGCTTGACAATGATGCAAGATATAAGAAACAGAAGTGGTTTTGGGCTATCAAAGTGGGAATTGTATTATCAGGCTGCAGTATTAACATGGATGAAAGAATGGATTGTATTGAGGAACACAAGATTATTGACCCTGGAAGAACATGATTTACAACTGGGGTGGCATGCTTTTTTGTGGTATGGAAAAAATAAGATACATGGATATTTTCAGAGATATTATATAAGAAATGCACTAATGTTGGTATGGGAGAAAATTAAAGAACAACATTATTTGAGGATACTGGTCTGGCTTTCAACAATGGATTCACCCAAATGTTATTAATATGGGAAATATTGTTAGGTATAAAGACATTTTGAATGAAAAGGGGGAACTGAAAACGAAAGAGGAAATGAGTGAGCAAGGGATCAATTTAACACGGTATGCACAAGTGCAGATACATTCTCTTTGTTAACAAAGTTAACAAGTTAACAACAGCCTCCTTTCTGAAGCTTGGCTGAGGACCAAGGTATCTTATAAGGAGGACTGGAGCTCAGGGCTAAGCCGCTCAAGGGTCTGCCTGGAGAGGGTTGGGGAGGCCAGATTCTTTGGACCAAAAAATAAATCAATCCCACATCCCAGGACTACCCATCTGCTTGTGAAACTCTCAGAAGCTCCCTGCCTGCCTGTGAGCCAGTTGGGCTCAGCAGGAGGAACAGCAGAAAATCTTCAGGCTCCACAAGGCATCTCAGGACACAAACCGGTGAGATTCTTGGGGGAGTCTTCAGTTTCCCTTCAGCAAAGGGGCAGCGATGCAAGAACGGATCAGCTTTTTACACCAAGGAAGGGAATTCTGGGTGGCTCCACCTGCCCGTCCCATCAGATCTCAGCAGAGACGGAGATACCCACGCACCCACAGAGGGAGCCCTTCTTACCTTCTGGGCTGGGGGGAGGAATAACACGCAGGATCTGCTCTATCTGGTTGACGGTGGACGTTCCTGGGAACAGAGGCTTTCCCAGAAGCATCTCTCCCAAGATGCAGCCGATGCTCCACATGTCCACCCCCTTGGTGTAACTGCAGGGAAGAAAGAAAAAAGACAGCTGGGCTCAAACTCCCCCCCCCCCCAAAAGAGGCCACAGGCACCTGGCACTGAACATGGGAAGAGGGGCCGGTTTTGCGTTACTGCTCTGAAAAAGTAGCAAAAGAGTTCACCAGATTTGATTAACCTGGGAGAAACTGCTTCAGCTGTTGGAAACGGCTCGGGTTGTGGCACTGCAATCAAGTTCCCCTGGCAGCCATGCCATGGGGCTTCATTAAGGGCACAAAGAAACATTCTGAAGCTCACAATGCGAATGTCATATAAAGGAATACGGAGGCTAAATCCGGCCAAGCACATAGTCCAAAAAATTGCATCACACAGCGATTGTGGTGAAGTGGGGGGGGGGGGTTGGTCACAAACGGCATAATTTCTCTATGTTGATTCTGAGGATATGCTTTAATAACTTGCTGCCATCCTTCCAAAATTAACACAGGTACCTGATTTGCTTCCCCATTCCCAAAATGTTCCCTGCCATTCCAATTTGGCTCAAGGCTTATGCAGCTCCCATACTCTCCTGAATACCCCACGACCAAAGATGGGAACAATCCAATTTGACAATTTGGAAGAAAAGAAGAGGCTCTCCTGCTTGCAAGTCATCTGTTAAATTGTCGCTGTATAGATACCCTCCTTTTCCCTTCAACTTTTTTTACTCTCTCTGCCACTCACTGCCTGCCTCTCTTGCTCTCCCTTTTGTGTTTTTGGTGGCCGTGTATTCGAAGGAAATGGCCAGGCAACCATGAAGGTGCTTTAGCAGAATGGAAGTGATTGCCCTTTCCTTCCTAGTGGCCACCGAATCATTTCTGTAAATCACACAGAGAGCTTTTGCTATTAGACAATTATAAGTTTTTTTAATAAACACGTATGCAAAAGACTCGCCTCCAATCTCAACTATCACTGCTCAGCAGTTATTGCTGTGATCAGGGAGTAGTAAATTAATATATAAGGACTTCACCTCCCAATGTCCCCCACCTGATGTAACTTCCCCATCACAAGATCCTCACTTGACACAGCCTCACCTGACCCATCACAAGACCTACTGACCACACGAAGCTCTTATAAAAGGAAGAACACCACTGACCCTGACATCCCCTAAACTCTGCTGAAGATGTTACCTAGGCTGATAACGAAGCATTTGGAAACCACCCACCCACAAGCTTGGAGAATGAACCTTCACCCTCATCCTACACCTGAACTACAGATGTTTGACACTATTGCAAATTAACATATAGTTAGAAGTCCTGTAGCCCAACCCCCTGCCGGGGGCAGGAGTCCTCAGACTGTTCCAGTCAGGTGGCTGCCAACCCTTGCTTGATCCAGCAATAAAGTTGCCATCTTTCCAGGAGGCAGCCTACCCCACTGCGAAAGAGCCCTCTGGGTCAGGAAACTCCCCCTCTATCTCCTGGGTCTCCCTACAGTCTGTAAAGCTTCTACCTGCTGTTCCTTGTCCTGCCCTACGACAGGGCCCTCGGGTCTTGAAAGAAGGCTGCTGTGTCTCTTCTTTGGGTTACATGTATCCAGTTCCCCTGACTTTCACAACAGATTTAGCCTCCAGGCCCCTCACCATCTTTGTCGCTCTTCTCCACCTTCTTTCTAGTTCTTCAGCCTCCTTCTTATAGTGGGCCATGATTTCAGGCCAGTCTGATTAGCGCAACTTAAGAGTAGAAATACCGCTTCCCGTGATCTCAACTTTATAGCTCTGCTGATGCAGCCCAAGACTGTACTGACTCCTTCAGCACCTCGCAGACTCATACTTAATCTGTGGCCTGCCAAAACAGCCAGGTCCTTCAAGCAGACATTACCTGCCAAGTTAGGCAATACCTGTCTTGTGCCTGCATGTCTGTTTTTTAGTTTTTAGTGTTCAAGGACAGTACACTCAATGAACCATTCTCTTTCTAAAACCCTTAAATTGGTGCTCACCTCCACACCCAATGGCAGCAAATTCCAGAATTCACAACTTCCTTTTATTGGTTCTCATAGCTTTGCTTTTAATTGTAATGGCTTGGCCCAGGTTCTAACATTATGACAGAAGAAGAAATTTTTCTGTCTACATTTTCCACATAACGCATGGTGTGGGATCCAAAATCGGCAAACATTAGTGGACGTGTCTTGAGTCACAGTTATGCTGCACAATAGAATAAGCTAGAAGCCAGCATAATAGAAGATAAGTTGTACAAAACAAAAGTGCTGGCAGCAAAGAGAATTGAGGGTAGGAAGCATAGGCTACACAAGAATTAGAAACCAGTAGCATTTATTTAAACAGCTGTTCTGTACAATTCCCAGAAAAAAAGCCAATTAGAAATATTTACATGTGATCAATGATAAGGTGCTTTTATCTTAAATCAAATCATTGCTTGTTCCGAGTAAGGCAATTAGGAAAATGACATATGTGATTAAAGGATGCATTTGTATGTAATTTTTATTTTTTCCTCTAAAAGAACACTCTGTACCTACAGATTAATCAATTTGAAACATCTTCAGTTGTTGGTTGTATTACCTGCAAACTGGGATCAAGGGAGAGCTTTCCTATAGTTCTGGTATAACAGACAGGATGCCGACATCCAGATATCCAACCTGAATCAATCACCCAGTGCTGCTGTCACAGCCAGCTCTAACACCAACCACTCCAGCATCTGACTCTGGCTGTTGATGGCTCATCAGGGAAAAGACTGGACTTGCCAGAGAGGTCCTGCCCCATCATGTTCCAGGTGTGGCAGGCGTACCTCTCAAGGCGTTGAAAGCAGATACTGTAAATGGTCGGCTCTGAGTAGCCCCCTGCACCAGGCAGCTCCTTTGGTGTGAGATGATCTCACAAGCAAGTTACTGTGTGCTGAGAGAGTGAACTACAAAACTCAACCCAAAGAGGAGCCCCCCTCCTCCCCATTGTCCAGAATTGGACATCTTGCAATTGGACTTCCTTTGTTTTTTCCTTGAAAACATTTCACTGCTCATACAAAAAGCTTCATGACTTGGATGACTGAGAATCTCCATGGACGCTTGCTGAAACGGATCAAAAGTGAGAGGCAAGTACAGCAGTAGATTGACGTGCAAGGCCCACAAGATCACTCAAGTGTTGCAGAGATAGGATTCCCCACATGCAAAAGGTGTGAATGCCAACTTTTAATAGGCCACCTGTAGGTGACAATGGGAGGAGCTTTGAAGTTTCTGTCCCAGGGACATTTTGAGAAAGGCAGACAGGTTCATTTGGGAAGCAAATTAGAGAAGGACATAGGAGAACGGAGAGGAGGAAGGAAAACCAACCCACAACAAGAATTGTGCAACTGAGAGCAAGGGAGCCTTCTAGGGGTTTTCTTGCACATGCCCCCACCGAAGGCTGCGCTGCCCTTTCCCTCCTCCCCAGTTTGCTCCAAGAACCAGGAGCAGCTTCCAAGCATTGCTCACTCAGCAGTGCCGAACCAATTCCATGTTGTTCTAGAGCCAATTGCTTTGGGTCACGGTAATGGGTCCAGTGCTATTTGTGATTTCTCTTGCTTTCATTCAGTCTCTCTAGGATTTGGGGGCATTTGCATTTTAAGTTCCTCTTTAAAAGATTGCTGTTTTAAGGTTTCCCACCAATAAGATTGGTGGAAATTTTTTGGGAGTGTTAAATAGAATGTAGAGGATGAAGAAGTGGGAGAAGACAGGCATATCAAAAGCAGAAAATAGACATTGAACCATGTCTGGTCTTGTTTAAGAGTTGGAAGTTATTGCAATGGCAAAAAAGAGGGGTGGGGAGTAAACTACCTGCTGCCCTGCCAAAGGAAAAAAAAAAAAGGTGCATGCGCACACACTGCATGGGTCATAAAAATGGAAAATTTGATCCAGGCAAGATGGTTTCCTTGGAAATGAACCAGTAATAAGGGGGAAAGGGAAAAACAATGGCTTAAGTCGTCTCCCTGAGCACTCAGATCCTCTGACCCTCACAAGGTCTAACTCTTTACAAAACAACCCAAGATATTGGTGTTGCTTTACAGCTTGTATCTTTGCAACTCAAGAAGAAGAAAAAAATTTTTTAAAGGAGTGCAACCGTTAAGAGGTGGCCAACTGCATTTTGCCAATTCTTATTTGAATTTATTGGCTCCTGAGTTATCCTTTAATTATGGAAAAACTCAAAAAATAAAAGAACCTCCAGCAGCTATTAACCCAGAAGTGACAGGGCTTTGGAAGAAACACATTCACAGTTCACAGGAAAGCCTGCTTCCAGCCAAAGCACTGGAGAATATGCCCATTTTTTGAAGCTTTTTCAGATGAGACAAGTGGATCCATGAGCTCCTCTCTTAACTGGATATTTTGAACCAAGGAAACAACCAGATTGTTCCTGGTTCAAAATGGGGAGAACTGCTATGTGGTTTGCTGCTCTAATTTCTAAACTGTACCCTCAAATTGGCTCAAGGTTTGTACAAATTTCAAATTATCAAACCAGGAAGCCACAAACTCTGATTACAGGGAACAGTTCCCTTCTGTCATAATCTAACAAGCAGTTAGATTATGAAAGCCTAACTACAACTTCACTCTGCAGCTCTATCTTGTTTAATCCCACTTAAGACCTCAAAAAAGCTTGGGACTTTGGGTATTGCTATTACATCCCTGGGAAGGAAAAATAAAGCTGGAAAAAAACACTCTCCCTCCTTCTACAATTCACGTGGATTTCGTTCCTTACCATTTTGATGCAAGCAGGATCTCAGGGGCTCGGTACCAGCGAGTAGCAACATACTCAGTAAGTGCAGGGTTGCCTTCATCTTTTTCAATTTGGCCCAGGGAACGAGCCAGTCCAAAATCACACAACTTCACAAAGCAATCCCTGTCCAGCAAGATGTTGGAAGGCTGGAAGTGAAAGATGATGAAAAGAAGGAGGATTCATACAGCCATCAAATCACCTGACCCACTGGCATCCCGTATGCCCGATTCTACTAAGAGGAGGTAAAAAAGGGAATATTTTGGAATAGCGGTGATCAAAGATAAGAGCTTTTCCTCAAAAAACCTTCAGGGAAGGTGGTAGAGAGAGGGTGCCTGGGCTTCAGCTTCAGAAGACTCTGGAGGAAACAGATTATCTGGATTCAGATCAGTCAGGTTTCAAGCTAGGATTCAGTATAAAAATCATGTTGGTCATGCTAGTTCACAATCTGATATCCCTCTTAATGCCTCCTTGATCTCTCAGGGGCATTTGATTCCGATGGCCATGGTATCCTTCTGAATCAGCTTTGGGGGTTGAGGCTAGGAGGCACTGCTTTCTGGCATTTCTTCTCATTTCTCCCCGACTACCTTCAGTCGGTGTCAATAGGTGTGGAACAATCATGCCCTTGGGCCTATGCTCAGGCTCTGATGCTGCCTCCTTAACATACATGTGAAGCTTTGGATAAGAAGTGAAAATATGGGGATGATACCCATTTGTGTATGGCTGGCCAAGGGATGTGGCCAAAATCCTAACCAAGTGCCTGGAAGCTATATAGAGCTGGATGAAGAGGAACAGGCTCAGGGTTCATCCTGCCAAGTCCAAGTTGCTATGGCTACTAGGGCCCCCAGGATCTGGAGATATTTCACTGTCAACTCCCAATGGGAGTTGCCCATTTATTTTGCTGCATTTCTCCATTCAAGACTTGTATTAAATTTAAGCACTCTCCGCTGTTGCTCAAAGAGCAGGTAGAAGTTCTGCATAAGATGGCCTGGACACAAGCACATCTGTGCCATCAATTGTGGCCCTTTCTGGCCCAGATGGCCTTCAGGAAGCCACTCCTGCCCTGGTCACCTCACGATTAAATGAGGCTGCTCATTCGGAAGTCTCAGCCTATTGGTGATCCAGAGCACAGAAATGCAGGCGGTGATGGAATGGCTGCCTTATGTGAATATGACTGCATTATTCTGTAAGCTGTACTGGATACCAGATGGTTTCCAATAGAATTCCATTTTCTGTTCCTCCTTCATAAAACCCTTCCTGGCAGAATGCCTGACTGTCTGCAGGACTCTTTGTCCGTCCGTCTGTCCGTCCGTCTGTCTGCACAATCAAGCAAGCAGGGCAGATACACTCTTGGTCCCACTGATTAAACAGTGTCACCTTGAGGTATCCAGGAAGTGCACCTACTCTTACTCTACTTGCCCTCTGGAACTATATTTCCCAGAGATTCTCACAACCTCCACATTATGACTTTTAGGAAATTATTAAAGGCCTAGCTCTTCTCCAGGACCTTGGGGACAGTGTGGTTGTGGAGCTTCTTTAGTTGTGGTTGTTTGTGGCTGATGTTCTGTTCTTCTGGTCACCTGTGTCTTTTTTTTAAAAGTCCTTTGTCTTTTTATTTGTAAGTGCCTAGAGTCATCAAGGAATTGGAGGGAGGGCTTAAAATTTGATAAATAAATAAAATAAAAACCTTCTGGTCCCTGTGAATAACATTTCCTGAGTGGATAAATTTGGTGGCTTTCAAGAGCTGGTACAGGATGTAGCACTTATGAATGTCTTTCAGTAAATTCCCCTTCTTGATCACTGCATGCAAGTCTGTCTCTGAAACAGGGGACATAAAAGCAGCAATGAAGGCATTGCATCATGGTTGCAATACCTAGCCGTTGTTCCAAGGGTGGCTGCAGGCCAAAACACACCACTAGCACTGCTTATACATTGTGGAATGTGAGATTTGGCTTTAATTTTCAAGGTTCCCTATTGGCAGAGCATAAGTTCCCATTATAAACCCTAACCCACTAAAGGATTCTTCAATATACTTCCATTATTAACGCATTTTATTACTCTGAAATAACTCTGCAAATTGCTGAACAATTTAAACCACTCCAAGACCCTTGTCTTGCAAGTCATCTCCACAAGTTTATCTTCCATTCAAGCTTTCATTTGAAATAGCATTTACAAATTTGCTTTTATTTATTTATTTATTTATTTATTTGCTGCCTTTGAGGCAGTGTTAATTTCTGGCAACTGTCTAGTTCCTAGAATTTTATTCATTACAATTATTTTATATTCCTCCTTTCAGGAAACAAGCCTCCCAAAGTGCTTACAACAATATAAATAACTATAAATGAAAATACAATAAATAGTTAAAAACAAGCAAACTTCTAGGATTCGAATCCAGCTGGACAGACTTCTGTGGTGCTGGCTGCCTGCCTTTCTCCCTCTCTCATGGGAAGCTGGGAAGAGCTCACCCATGGATTCGAAAATCAGATAAATGTCCTTGTCATTCTGAGCCCGGATGACATTCAGGAGCTGAATGATGTTCGGATGCCCTCCAAATTCCTGCAAGACACAAGACCAACACAACCCTGGCCTATGCTCCCATCCTTCCAAGCTGGGGATCAGGGCCACAATTACACAGGGGTTCTTCTTCTTTTTCTAGGGCAGGTTCAAGTTGGTTGGGGGAGGGAGATCACTCACTAGACACCTCCTGTCTAGGAGGTGTCTACTCTCCTTCTTTTCAACAACTATCTGAAACTGGGTCGGGTCACCTGCCAATTTAGAGCTATACTTTTAATTTTATCTTTTGACTTCAGACTGGCCAAGCCATGTTGGTATACAATCCTGTGTGTCTGTGTGTCTTCCAGGATTCACAGCTCCTGCTTGAGGAGCAGGTATCACCAGGAAGGTCTTTGCACAACTTGTTTCATGTACCAGTTAGGGTTTAGATGGGGGGGGGGGGGTTGGTGTTCAGAGAGTCACTCATGCCCTAGTCACCTTGCAGCTTGAATTCTGCAACACACTCTACATGGGGCTGCCTTTGAAGGTCAGCAAGAAACTTCAACTGGTCCAAAATGTGGTGGCATAAACAATTATGCCTCAATATGCCCATGGAACACTTATGCTTTGCTAGATATACTCTTCTCCCAGGCCTTCAGCAAGGGACACCCCGCCCTGTGTTCGCCCTTTATTGTCTTCATCTTTTATTGATTTTATTGAAATTTCATTTGATTGTTGCGAGCGGCCCAATTTCATTCAGTCAGGCAGCATACAAGTTTAATTAATTATTGTCATTATTGTAAGCTAGGGCAAATAGGAAGACCACAAGTAAACAGTTAACTTGGCCACTTCAATCGTTACCAACCAAGCAAGCCCTTCTAAGAAAAACTTGCAGACTGCAATGTCTTTTTTATATACACTGTGGTGTAAGAGTCGACCGTTTATATAAAATCTATTATTTCTTACAAAGCTATTGAAACCCATACACAAATCCAAAAATACTGGTATAAAGAACTGGCCAAAACACCTATTTAAAAAGATTGTGCGGGAACTTACAGGACCTGCTCTCAGGTGTCTTCTTCAACTGTTTAGAAGGATTGTTTCAAACCTTTCAGGAAAAAACAGCTTCCCAAGACAAGGGACGAGAGCTGAGAGGGGAACGGAGGGGGAGGGGGGGTCGCCCGGGGCCCCTGGCTGACCAAGCAAGGCCAGCCCTGAACCGCCCCCCGGGGGGGAATGGGAGGCCGGACGGGGAGGCGCCTTCCCACCCCACCCACCCCGAGAGGGCCGGGAGGGCTCGGCCCCGAAGCCCCCGGACGCCTTTCAGGACGGAGCTCGCCGGCTCCGCTGAGCCCCGGCCTCCCCTCAGCCGCCGTCTCCGCGGGGCGATCCGAGAGGGGCCCGGCGCGGAGGCTCACCTGGAGGAACAGGATCTCCCGGAAGGTCCTCTGTAAGGAAAGAGCGGCAGCAACGCTCGCGCGGGGGAGGGAGGGAGGGAGGGGGCCACCGGGGGCCTTCCCAGCCTATCCGCAGCCACCCCCGGCCCGAGAATCTCCCCCCGCGGGCTTCACCTGGGCATCGGTCCGGTTGCGGAAGGCGTCGAAGATCTTCTTGACTGCCACGCTGTCTCCCGTCCGGCGCTCCGTCGCCTTCCACACGATCCCGTAGGCCTGTTGGGGAGGGGCCGGGCGGGAGTCAGCGAGGGGGCCGCGGGCGGGAGGAGACGAGGGAAGCCCCCTCCCCTTCCCGCGCGCGCACCCCTTTGCCCAGCCGCCGCTTGATCTCGTAGCGCCGCGCCACCGGCTCCTCCACCTCGGCTGGCACCCCGCTCATCCTCCGGACAGGCCGCCGCCGCCGCCGCTGCTGCTAGACGCGGTTGCCCTGGCAACGGCCGGCCCCCGCACGCGCGGCCCTCCCCCCGGCGGAAGCGGCCGCCCTCTGGCATCCCCGAGGCTCCTCCCCTTCCGCCTGTGCTGTCCCGGCGCCGGTGTGGCCCTCGGATCCGCCCCCGCCTCCCTTGGTGTCGCTCGTCTCCCTCTGCCGGGTTCCGCGCGGGCTCTTCCGCCGGCCTGGCGGTGCCGGGGCGGAGCTGAAAGGCGTTCGGGCTCTCGGCGGGAGCCACTCCGGCGGTCGGGTCAGCTTTTTCAATCGAGGCGACTCGGATGGGTGCCTTCCGCGCGTTCCTTGGAGCCCGAACTCTGGTTTTCCTCCGGTGGGCAGCAAGGAAATGAATCCTCGGGCTGAATCCTGGAGGAGACGCGACGTTTCTCGGCGGCCTTTTCCCATGTCTAACCGGTGTTTTCTTCTGTGGCTTTCCGACGCCTCACGTGTATCAAATGCACCCATCGGCTTTTTTTTTTTTTGCCTCCTGTGCAAAGACTCCCCCCCCCTTCCTCCCCGCTTTAATAAAATGTTTTTGGGTTTCCTTGAAGTACTTTTGGTTCCGATGGCAACAAACCGCCTTTTACGTGCATTCACCTGGTGCAGTGAGCTAACGAGGAAAATGGGATTCAACCAAGTCTTTTCAAAACATATGGACAGATTTAACCATAATTTCATTTGGGAAAATGTGACCATCCTAGACCAGGCCAAGTCCAAAATTGCCAGGGAATTTCTAGAAGCCTGGCACTCTGGCAAATAAGCCATAAATAGACACATAATCACCCCACCCAAAAAGGAACAAAAAGACCATCCACCAGCAATTGGCACCTAGGTAGGCATAGATTAACAACGATCAAGTAAACAATACCCAAATCCAGAAACTGCCAAAGAAGCGAACAGCCCAATCAAAAAATCTCTAAGGCCACCAACACTGACAGGCAAGCCCCCCTTGCTAGCACTGATGATGTTACCGAATTTGGGTAATGAAACCCTGCAAGAAAACAAGTAGGCTCAGAGACCGCCAAGGACTCTTCAAGTGGAATTCAAATACTTTATTTCTGCACAGGAGCAAAGTGGATGCTCCAAACTGACAAGTTTCAATAAATTCCAGCTTGAAAGGAGAAAGGGACACTCCAAATAGGTGTGCATTGAAGTTTTTATACTTCTTCATGAAGAAGCTAAATGTTCACTATTGGTTACCTATTACTTTGTGGTGTACTGATTGTGTGTGCAGTTGCATATGCTATACAATGTTCTTAGCATGTCTCTAAATTGCTCATTTATATACTTAGGGGTTGATTTTTTTTTTTTTTTTGTATGATAATAGCAATAGCAATTGCACTTATATACAGCTTCACGGTGCTTTTACAGCCCTCTCTAAGTCGTTTACAGAGTCAGAATATTGCCCCCAACAATCTGGGTCCTCATTTTACCAACCTCAGAAGGATGGAAGGCTGAGTCTACCTTGAGCCTGGTGAAATTCGAACTGCCAAATTGCAGACAGCCAGCAGTCAGCAGAAGTAGCCTGCAGTGCTACATTCTAACCCTAACCCTAACTTAAAGCATCGTTTTACCTGAGCCTCTTCTATGAGCTAATATTAAAGTACATGGTCTTCACTGACCAGGCTTTCACTGGATCATGGTTAAAATACCAGGCCTTCAGATTCTATAGGCGCAGGGGACAAAAAAGCCTCTTTGCCTTTTAAAGAGGTTCTGCAGAAGTGCCTCTCTCCTCAAGAAGCCACTGCTGGACTCCATGGTTCAGGGCAATTTTCGTGCACTCAAATTTCCTTTTTAGGGAAGGTGGTAGCGTTACAACTCCAAAGGATCCTGGAGGAAATGGATTATCTGGACCCTTTTCAGACAGACTTCAAGACTGGGTAGGGGAGAGAAACATCATTGGTTGCACCCATGTATGTCCTCTGGTGGGAGTGGGATGGAGCAGTGGTGAAATCCTACCGGTTCACACTGGTAGTATAAAATGATAAAAGCTACTGGTTCAGCGGTAGTGCGCATGGAGTGCGTGTTTGGCACATACTCTGCATGCGGGCACACAGCATGCATTTGGCGTGCACTGCGCATGCATCTTAGTGTGCGTTTGGTGCGCACTGCACATGTGTGCATAGCAAACGTGGCAAACCGGGGAGGATTTCACCACTGGGATGGAGGTAGTGCATCCATCCTTATCATCTGCTGATTATCAGACTAAAACATTTTTGTATTTTAGTGATCTCTCATGTGTATGTGGGGAGCTTGACTGGCCATCAGGTCCCCTTACACCAAGGAGACTTGGGTATTTTGTCTTCTTGACCAGGAAAATTTAGGAAGGAAATCCAGAGGGAAAAGCCTGATTCTTCCTAGTGTGAGTAACTAATGCTAATGCGAGAAAAGTAACTTGTGACAAGTTGTGTCTTGCTGGCGTGAATTGGGACCAGAGAAAAGACTGGGAACCACAGTTCTTAAATGGGAGCATGAACCAAAGTTCGCTTCCCCGACCTGCAGCTCATTCTCCAAGACTTTGTGCCAGAGGCTCGAATGCAGTTCTGCTCTGAGGTGGCTGGCTTGCCCTGGCTCTGACATTAATCTCCCAAGGGCAGGAGTGGTTTTGCGGCCCATCCTTCCAGAGGCAAATTAGATTCCCTCAAGCACCCAGATGGAGAGGCTGTATGTGTGTGAATGGATGGATAAAGTCTGGGGAAGTTAAGTAATTGACTTCCATGCTCACGTTCTCCAAGACTAACCTACGCTGATTCTTCCTAGAAGGGAAAGACAATAGGCACATTTCTACTTGCTCCAGGTTAGGGTTGGAGAGGTCTCCTGGTCTGCCCCATGGAGAAAACATTATGGTCCAAGGGCGAGCATCTCTGGGCACATTGTGCTGGAATCAAGAGTTGTGTTAAAGAGATATTGTGCTGAAAGTGGAATCAGTAATGTGCGTATGCTTAGAATATGCTCATCGGGGGCACATATTCTAAACTGGCTTAAAGTTAGCCCACCCAACACCTGTTAACAAACCAAGGTAGCTTACCATGTCTAGCTTGGGAAGTAGAGCTGGGGTGCTTCTGTCATGGAAGCCCAAGCCCGCTTCCAGTCCTGTGGTTCTGCTGGCCCTCAGCCACAAGGTATGCTGTGCTCTGTGTAGGGACACGCGTAGACTTTTCTTAGTTGACCAGGAATATACATAAGTTACCTGAGGCTGGAGCTTGCTCAGTGGTACACGTGGTACCCTGGTGCTGATGAAGCAGCCTCACCTTTATGCCTTAACCACGCAAACCAGGGAACAAAATCATACCAACTTGAGTCTCATCCAAAGGCAGCGATGGCTTTTTGTTTAGAATTTTGAGGTAGGAAACAGGCAACTGTGATTTTAAGTTTAAAATAAACTTAATTAACTTTATAGATCCCACTGTCCAAAAATCCAGTAATCCACCACTGCTTCGCTGTTGTCTGGCTCCACTCACTGCATCCTTTGTTTTCCTCAAACTTAAAACTTGAAACCTTACCCATGAAAAACTTCATATACAATTGACAATTAAGAAGCAATTACCAGAAATATATGTACATTTGCATAGTTTATTCCAGTCACAGAATTTATAACTGCTTTAAGCAGAATTATCAGCCCTCTAGACAACTGATAAACACATTGGTCCCCATCCCCACCCATTGCTTCAAGCCCAATGAGCTATCTTTTCTTCCCAAATACTTTTAGAACAATTCTGCTGCTCCTTTTTCAAAGATTTAAGAACTGCCCAATTGAAAGCAGATTTCAAAGTAATGGACATGTATTTTAAGGGTGATACATAATCAGGTGGAGGAAGGCTGGCATTTGAAACAATGGCCTGAGCATGGAAAGTCTTTGGGTAACTTGTCTCCAGGTCTCAGCCCCTTGGACGAAACCCCTTACTTTCTCTCAGTACTTATAAAGTACTTATAAAATGGTAATTTAGTCTACGTTACCTGAAGAATCCTAACTAATAATCAGCACTAGACTGCTGAGACTACCCAAGGAGCCCTGAAATAGGTTGCACCGAAGATCCGGCATCCTGTCCATTAAAGTCAACTGATGTTTTTGGAAAGTCTGACAAAGGGTCACAGAATGCATGCATTAGGAGAGACCTTAGGAAACCCTCCAAATCATTCCAGAGAGGTGGCCAACCAACCCCAATTGGAAGCCTCCAGGAAGGGGGAAATCTAGGCAAGTGATTCCACTGCTGAACAGCTTTTCCAGGAAGATCTAGAGCTTGGCCTTCAATGGCTGGCTCTGGGGGCAAGTGGTTTTGCTCACAGAGGTAGTACAGCATCTGGATAGGTTGAAGTTCTCAATGGGTTGAGATCCTCAATGAATTTGTCGTACCTTCTTTGACCTAGTATTGAAGTGGAGCAACAAGGTTAGTATACCACTTACCAGACCAGTTGGGAGGGGCATGTGTGTGTGTGTGAGAGAGAGGGGGGGGTGGACAGAAAGAAACAGCAATAATTTAGATTGCTTCCCATCAAGGGAGGTATTTTGGGAAGATCAGGATGGTGTTCACATGACATGCCTCATTTGGAGACTGAATTAACGAGTCTTCTGGTTGGGAACAATATATTGAAAAAGGTAAAGGTAAAGGTTCCCCTCGCACACATGTGCCAGTCGTTCTTATATTGTTATATTGAACCATACACTTAAAAGCTAGATGCTAAGTCAAAAAGGAATGGACAAAGGTGAAAATGAATAAAGGACTCCATATTTAAGATTTTAATGGTCTCACTTAACTGCCGGCTAATGTCCTTTGTGGGTCTTGCTAATGCCATGTGGGATATCACTTACATGAATCAAATTCACAACTGTTTACCTTGACCACCTCCAGGAGTTTTTCCATCCCTTTTTGGAGACTCTCAGATATTCCTAATCATGTGCCAAGACTAGGCACATGAGGCCCAATTCTGGCCAATTTATTGTTTCTGCCACAACCAGCAAGCCCATGCATTGCAAGTGGCAGCCATCCCTGATATTCCTTCCAGCCTAGCAAGGGCAAGCAAGACAACAGAATTAAATAAACATTCTTTAACATTTCTTTTCAGGGCTCTGTTCATTTCAGCCTAGCCCTTAACCTGAGGAGAAAGCACAAAGTGTGCTCTCGTCTGTACCAGAGCTCACTGGGAATGAGCCCGTGCACTCCCCTCCCCCAGGAAGGAAACCTGGGAACCATCTTCTCATGCCCCACATAGGAGGGTGGATGTTGCAGCAGCCCCCTCCGTGTTGGGTGTGAGCAGGTCCTCCTATCCTGTCTCGGAGTGCATTGCAATTCTTTCTTCAAACCTCAGCGGTGCTGCCTGTCTGCAGAAGCTTCAAGATGCTTTCTCTGTCCTAGGGGACATCCTTCTCCACCTCTTCAGTAGAACTCCTGTTGTACTGAGATGGGCAGGAATTGATCTATCACCTTCTGTAAAGCAGCCTTTCTTTAATCAGGGCGGCAGCCCTTTCATCTCCCCTGAGAAGCACCATCCAAGCTAGAGCCCTTTGGACTGTGGATGGTGGCTTGGTCTAGGCTGGTTCTTGCTGAGAGGATGAACTTCTGGGAGCAAAGCGGGAAAGAGCTTGGAAGACAAGAAGGAGTCCCCCCTCCCACACCTTCAACCCTTGCTGAGAATTGTGGTGCAAGAAGAAAATGCAGGATTGTGAAAATCAAGAGCCAGACATATAAATGCCCTAAATGCCCTCTTCGCTCCATACTGGTGGGACCATATCACAAGGGCAAATAATTACAGACCAAAATATCCAGAATACAGACAGGTTAGAAGACGTTCAGAGGAGGGTGACATAACATGAGGAGGAGGAGGAGGAGGAGGAGGAGGAGGAGGAGGAGGAGGAGGAAGGAGGAGAGGAGGAGGAGGAGGAGGAGGAGGAGGAGGAGGAAAACCAGGTTATCAGGTATGCAAAAGGGCATCATAGGGAACGTGACTGGAAAGGTGGAGTGTCCCTTCCAACCCCCAATTCTATGACTGTCAGTAATAGTAATAGTGGGAGATTTCAATTACCCTGATATCAGTGGGGAATTTGCCAAATCAAATCCTGAATAAACTTTTGCCCTGTTTTGCCAAGAGCTTCATTCATCAGAATGATCCCAGCCCTAACCCTCATCCACAGGAAAAAAGTGAAGATAACTGAAACATTAGGCAAAGTTATAATGTTATCTTTGAGTTTGTAATATCTGGAAGGGAACTGAAAAGAGACATTTTTGGAATGAATTATTCAAATTCCAAGGGAAGATAGGTGAGATCCAATTACTTGAAATCCTGAAGGAGCAAACGATCCAAGAAGGATGAAAAGAATTCTAAGAAATTCTGTAATGGACTGTCAGAAATAACCCAACCAAAGAAAAATGGGGGGAAATCTGAGGAAACCAGCAAGGATACAGGAGTTATTTCAAATGCAGAAGAGAGGCGCATACAGAACATGGAACGAGGAACAATAAAGGAAAGTCAAAAAATAAAGCCCAACAAATTATAGGCTCCTTGTAAGAAGAAACTGATTAAGGCTGATGGTGCAAAGGCACCATCATACTTTACATCCTCCCCCAGAATAAAAATAGCACGATGGTTATGAGGAAACTGCATCTTGGGACAAATGTGGTGGAACCATCAGCTGAAGGGGAGGGTCCAGCCCTCTTTCTCAGGGAATAAAGAGACAATCCAGTTTAGAGTCTGTTCAGGAAACACCTGCGGTTTCCCAAGGGAAGACAGACAGCCTGGCAGGATTCTTGTAATAATAGGTAATCAACAATATAATATCCACTTGGGCCTACCTACAAGTGGTTCCAGTTGCCTAACCCTAACCCCAACAGATGAGGACAAGAGAGAAATTAGGTTATTTTGAATGTTCCAGAGCCACATGGATTACATTCTTGGGTGTTGAGGATGATTGCAGAATCTTCTTGGTAATCTCTGAGAACTTCTCAAGACCGGTGAGGTTGCATAAGACTGGAGAAGATCAAATCTTAAGGAGAAATTTCCTGTCAATGTGAACAATTACTCAGTGGAACAGCTTGTCTCTTGAAGTTGTGGGTGCTCCATCACTGGAGGTTTTTAAAAAGAGATTGGATAGAATGGTATAGGTTCTCCTGTTTGGTAAGGGAGTTGGACTAGAAGATTTCCAAGGTCTCTTCCAACTCTGTTATTCTATTATTAAATCCCACCTTCAAAAACGGTAGGAGAAGGACCTGAGAAACTACTGTACTTTTGGGCTCTTCTGGGCATTGTCTTCAAACAGATTATTTGTGAGCACTTAAGAAAGAAATACAACAGTTAAGAAGAGCCAGCAGGGTGGTCTCACAAGGAAATTATCCCAGATTATAATCCTGGAGTTACTAGTTTAGTAGACGAAGGGAACCTTATAGACATCATGAACTAGTATCTCAACAAATTCTTAAGAGTGTTTCTAGACACTCTTCACTCGAGACTTCCTTCCAAGCTGAAGAGCAGCCATTAGAAAGCACTTTTTTGGGTACAATCATTCAGCCAACGGTGAGTCCATTTTACAGTAGTTTCATCCAGCCCTAACATTCCGGGGGGGGGGGGTGTCGAGGCACAGAGCTCATTTTATCAAGGGCTTGGAACAGGAAATTGTGTGGGTAGAAAACTTGGAGAGTACCTGACAAGAGAGAAGATTTGAAAAGGTCTAGAGCAGCCTGAATACTGAGCTGAAATGAAGAGTTTAGAATGGGAGAATTGGTAAATTCTGCATCTCAGTGGGAAACGTGTAAGGAACTATTCTAGGATGGGGTAAGCATGACTTGATAATAGTACATGTGAAGAGATCTGGTGTTCTCATCAACCATACATGAGCAGCTGCTAAACAGGCAAATGCTACCCTGGGTGCATTTACAGCAACATAAAAGTCCAAATCCCAAGAAGTAAACATCCCACACTACCCTGCCCTAGTCAATCCCACTTGGAGGTCTGTATCCCACCCTGGCCTGCGTCATTCAAAAGGCTGCCAGAGCTCTAGGAGGGATGGCGGGAGAGCTGGATATGCTTAACCTGCAGCAGGGATATACGACGACAGTCTTCCCATATCTGAAGGGCTCTCAGAGGACAGAACCAGCATGCTCAAAGAACAAGGACAGTGGTCAGGAGGAGGTCTTCCAGCAAGATGGTCATTTAGCAAAAAGATTCTCCTGCAAGACTACTCAAACTTTTTCCTTCATTACTCAAAACCACCTATCAGAAAGTCCTTTTTACCCAATGTAGGAAAACCATTTTAAGACAATTTAAGACTCTGTTGCGGTTGGGTAATGGGTTAGGGTTGTGTGCCGTTACCCAAAGAAAAACCACTTTTACCCAATTTGGCCAAAGTTACCCAAGTTTGGGAAGCACTATTCTAATGAATTGGACCGGATGACTTCTATGTTTTTCTGTGTTGATTTCACCTCCCCTTGTGGATTCCTTAGTACTGCCTCTTCCCCCTCCCACTCCCCCAGCAAATGGACTGTCCCCACAAAGAAAATGTCCAGTGAAATGGTGGGCCCTGAAGGAAGGGCTGCTGCAGGGGCAAAAGATCAGAGGCAGTGGCCCAGGATGGTTGACCTGAGCTGGGCCCCTAAGAATGGGGGGTCTTAAATGAACTTGCTCAAAAAGCAGCTGTGTTGCCAACTGCCTCCTCTTCGTTCATATCGGTGTGTTTTTCTCCCCTACCTGGAGGGAGTTCCTAGATGTGGGACTAATCTCCAGCCCCTCCAAAGAAAGTTAACCGCTAGTGGGATGCTGGCCTCTTAGTTCCCCCGATGGTCATTTAATCCTGCTTGGTGCCCCCACTTCCCCTCTCCCCCAGCCCCAGCCCAGCTGTCCTGCTGCTAGAATGGGCTTGGAAATGCCGAGGAAGGCCTGCCACGAACCTTGGTCTCAGGCAGGGCCGTCCCAGCAGCCTCAAGTCATTTTTTGGTTTTGAAGGACCCCAAGAGTTTTGGCATGAACTTTCCCATCTTCTTGTCTTTGGCGTCTGTCTCGCATTCCTCCTCGCCTTGCTCCTCCTTCTTGCAGAAAACTTCAAAGCGGCTGTAGACGCGCTTCTCCTTCCTCATGCTCTCCATCCTCTTCAGAAGAGAATCCCGGTCTTCCGAAGGCTCCCTCTGCAGGCCCCGCTTATGGCTCCCAAAGCTTTCTGATCTGCTGATCCCTGTGTTCCTCTCGTCCCCTTTACGGTCCAAACTTGTGGCGGACCTGGACAGCTCAGGATTGCTAGCTGCTGGAAGCTGCCTGGCCAACTCTGCCCGGTTCTTCTGGCTGTTGGCCGAAATTTGCTCCAGAATGACCTTCGTGTCATCTCGGAGGTTGCTGCTGTAGAGGACGTTGGCCGTGGAGGAGGGCAGTCGAGATTGAGGCCCTGGGTTCACCCTGACGACAGGCACCGGTGCAGCCAGTTTGGGAGATTTCTCCTCTTCTATAATCTCCTGAGAATTGCTCCTGGACATTCGCTTGAGGGCTCCTGCACTCAACTTATCTGGCTTCCAGGTCTCCAGGCCTGTTTCTTCGTCTGTTTTTTTCTCAGCTTTGGGATTTAGCAACTGCTTTAGCTTGAGAGATCCCTTCCTAAAAAACTCTCTTGGACTCGGTTCCTGCTTGCAACTTTCTTCGTCGAGCTTACTGAGAGAGCTGTCAGAGCCCTGGTTCTTGGAGGAGATGGTGCTGACCGGAGCTTGTGCTGGCTTGTGGTCTTCAGTTTCAGATACATCTCCTCCTTTGAAAGAGACGCTTTCCTTCCTGTCTGCTATGGCACGTTTCTGAGTTTCTCCCACAAATATTAGGCTCTCCTTCTCCGGAAGACTGGATTGGTCTATTGGGTAGAAACGAGAAGCAAGCTTGTCTGTTTTATTGCTCCCGTGGACCATGGGGTCTTTGCTAAGCATATCGGTCGCTGAGGCAGACCCTCCAAATTGCTCCTCCGATTCCGGGTGCAGCTTATAAGGGCTGAAGGAGTCTTTGGAGTCCAGCACCCGGCTCTCCAGAATCTTGTACTGCACCGACTTAGTGCACTTTTTTCCTGCATTCTGGGATTCTTCCTGGAGAAATGCAGACATAGCTTTGGTGTGACTGAGGGTGGCACTTTGTGAGTCTTTCCCCACTGACTTGTACTTTTCCAGCAGCTCGGCCACTTTAGAGACAGTGCTGGCTTTAATGGTTTCAGCGTCCTTGGTCATTTCGGTGGAGGTCTGCTCTTTTTGCACCATTTGGACTTTTTCAGTGGATGAGTTTGGCTGGTCTAATTTGGCAGCACTAAAAATAAGAGAAGATCTAAGTCGCGAACTCCTCTGGATCAAGGGATTTATCCTGCTCCTGAAGGGATCCTGTTTCACCACCGAGGTTTCTTCTGGCAATCTCTCGGTTCCAGAAATGTCTTTGGCATTTGGAAGTGGAAGTGGAGGTTTGAAAGTGGGGAGGAGGTCGCTGGGATACCTAGTAAGGGGTTCTGGAGGACTAAGTACCTCGTTATGCAACTCCGACTCCACGGGCATCAGAAGGCCTTCCTCTCCCGGGTCAGACTGATACCCGCTAAGGTAGGAGGAAATTCTCCAGTTGCGCAACCCTGCCCTGTTCTCCTGAACCTTCTTGTCTTGCTCTATGTCTTGGCCTTGGTCGTGCAGAAAAAGCCTCTGTTCCATGCTCTGCTTCTGTGTGGGAGATGTCTGGCACATAAACTTCTGCCCCATGTTTTGCCTTCTTAGAGACGGAAGACCGAGGAGACCGTTCCCTCCTGGATTCAGGTGATCAGAGCCGTGTCGCACTTCTTTAGAAGAATTAGAAGGCACATAATCCAGCCACAATGGATACCCATCTTGGGGGAAATTGGATTCCAGTTCTGGACACCTAAGTCCATCTGCATAATCTTCTGGTTCATTGAATCCTAGTCTGCCTCCTCGGATTCTTTCAAAAAGCCCCTGGGGCCTGTTAGCCCCATGGGGATGTTCAAACTGATATTGATAAAACTGATCTTTTTGAAAATGACTGGACTGAATTTTAAATTCGTCCAAATTGTTCATGTACAACTGCTTAGAAAACTGCTTTGTGGACTGAAAGTTCTCAAAGGTGCCTTCGGCGAAGCTGTGCCTTTTAAATGAGTCCATTTCCAGCTGCTTGGAACGGAGGTAGCCCCGAACAGGGTCCGCCTGGCAGTTCTCCATTTCCATTTTTTTGGAGTACATTCGCATGGCCGAACCCTCTAAAGTGTGACGCAGCATGTCGTCTCTTCTTAAAGAAGACAGAAAATACCTGTCTGGGTCAATCCGATCCATAAAAGGTGAGAAAAGGTTGTCCTCTCGGGGGAGAAGCAGGTGAGGCTTCTTTGGAAAGAAGGGCATATTGTTGCCAAAGGGGGCCATGCTGTAGGGCCCCACCGGAGCCTCTGTCCTCACTAAAATGTTGGACGGAGGAACCAGCGGGTCTGACTGGGCGAAAAGAATGCGGAATTCCTCATCAAAGCTGGCCACAAGCTCACCCTGGAAGATATGAGCGATGCTCCGGTGGATCTTCTCAAATGACCACATGAAGCTGCAAAAGGAGGAGGAGGAAAAATGAATATTTGCCATGAACTGCAGCCAATCACACTTAACCCTGCCACACCCTGAACGCCTCCATGCAGAGATCTCTCTCTTGATTTCAATTGGCCATGGGGCCTCTAGGGTCGATTGCCAGCTGGACAGCAGGCCACTTTATTAATCTGATATCCTAGTGGGACCCAGGTTCCATGGTCAAGACTACTTTCTCAGCAATTTCTCTTTTGAGAAATTGGTTCTGTCCCCTAGGTTCTCATTAGGATGCCCACGATGAGATGGTGTGCAGGCCGCCCGCCCGCCCCCTCCCTGCTCACCTATAGCTGCCACTCAGCACCACCATGCAGTCCACCAACAAGAACTTCTCCTTCACGTGACCCTTGAACGACATCCCCGTGCGGCAATAGTAGGTGGGGCCAGAAACTGTCCGCACACGTAGGAACTGCAAAGGAAGAAAGCAGCTGATCAGCAGATGCTTGAAGACCTTCTCACTCCATCTGATATGAAGCTTCTAATCTAGCATCAGTTCCCGCATTTCCCCTTTTGGCCCTTCGAGCATTCATTCTGACAGCTTCCGTCCTGCTCAAGAGGCTCGAGTGGCTTTCACCTTCGACCAGAACAGGATCAGTTGGGTTGGGGTGGGCTTGGAGGGTGAAAAAAAGACTCCTGGCTGTTCCTGAGAGCCTGTCATGTCAGTCCTCTCAGCTGGAAAGCAACAATGGCTAGCAGAAGTTTGTCATGTTGTTTCACTTTATGTGAAACAGTTCTTAACTCTTCCTTATATTTGGTAAACTTCTCCCCCCTTTGAGAAACTATTTCTGAAACTGGCACACAGACTGCCAACCAGAAGAATCTTTTCCAGTGTGCACTCAGTATTGCAATGTCCATTGGAATGAGATAAGATGTTGCCCTCTGTTCTCAAAACACACTTTCCTACTTTTATCAAATCATGATTTACTCGATCCAATGTTCTGGGTTCACACAACATAGTGAACCAAACATTAGATAGAGCTATGATAGTGCTGATGGTATGCTAGATTAACATTTCATTAGTTGGCCTATGGCCAGCCTATGTTGTACAAAATCAGCCACTGAAAGTTGATGCTTACTGGCTACTGCAGCAAGCCATTGGGCAAAAGGAAAATATTTACAGAATAACAGAAGCGTTGGAAGGGACCTTGGAGGTCTTCCAATCCAACCTTTTGCTCAAGCAGGAGACCCTATGCCATTTCAGACAAAAATTAACGAGGCTCCCTTGTCCCCATCAAAGAAGCTTCTCTTTTGGCTTTGCAGATCTGCCTCCAGTGGGGCTCTCTCACTTGAGTCCACCAACTGAGGGCTGCTCCCTCAGCTGGCATCTGTCCTGCCCTCTCCAAATCCCTCCGGACCCATTTTTGTGCTCACTTCCACAAAGTTGAGGTTCACTCTGCATTTGGCAGCCATGTCCAGGAAGAGCTGGGCGTGCATCTCATCGAGCAGGATATACACGGGAACTCTGCGTGCAGCCGCATCCAGTACCTCACTCAAGAGGTCCACATCGGTGAAAATATCCATGACTATAGCAACCACCTGAGAGAGTAGGAAAAAGCTCAGATTACAACCCCAGATAGATAGACCGGCTGTCTCCACGCTTGGCCTTCTGTTGTGTGACACTCAGCCATCCAGACTTCCACTGCTCTTGTCTGAGTTAGTCTGCTTTTGATAAGAGGAGAGCAGCAGCCGTACTGTATGAGCTCCCTTTCCCCAGGCCGGATACCCTGAGTCTCCGCTGGCTGGCTTGTCAACCCACAGCACTCGAGGAGACCAGTTCTTCCTTCAAGGAATCCCCAGGAATGTCCGATTGGAGGGTTCAGAGGTGCAGAGTGGTGTCGCACTGCCCTATGGACTGCAAAGACATTCAAGCACAGCAGTTTTACTGGAGATGACGGTGACAATGCCATCCTGGGGAAAGTGACCCAAGAGCAATCACAGCAACTGACCGGTATATCATCCAGGTTCTGGGTACATAAGTTACATTAAACCTTAGCAAAAGTCACAGGGAGCTAATGTGAATATTAAACACTTTTAGCTTTGCCCAATTCTTAGCAAAGAATTTGACATTTTTGTAAATGTGAATTTTGTAAATGTTCTAAACATTGTGCTCTGTGTAGTTTTTTATACATAATATCATATTACAGGTAGTCCTCAACTTACAACAAGAAGTTACATTTAGTGACTGTTTGAAGGTACAACAGCACAGAAAAAAGTGACTTAGGACAATTTTTCGCACTTACAACAGTTGCAGCATCACCACGGTCACATAATCAAAATTCAGACACTTGGCAACTGACTCATATTTATGACGGCTGCTGTGTCCCAGGGTCATGTGATCCCCTTTTGCAACCTTTTGACAAGCAAAGTCAATGGGGAAGCCAGATTCACTTAACAACCAAGTTTTTTATTTATTTATTTATTTATTTATTTATTTTTATTTATTTATTTTTATTTATTTATTTATTTTTATTTGATTTATATGCTGCTCTTCTCCGGAGACTCAGGGCGTCTTACAATGCGCTAAGCAATAGCCTTCATCCTTTTGTATATTTATACAAAGTCAGTTTATTGCCCCCACAAACTGGGTCCTCAATTTACCTACCTCAGAAAGGATGGAAGGCTGAGTCAACCTTGAGTCTGGCGAGATTCGAACCTGCAGTAATTGCAGGCAGCTGGTCTTAATAACAGGGTGCTTTAGACCACTGTACTACCAAGGCTCAGTTGTTAAGTTACTAACTTAACAACTGTAGCGATTCACTTTGTGGCTGTGGTTTCTGACGTCCCGATATAGTCAGTTGACGCCATCACTGACTATTGGGGGCGAATCGCTGGCCCCCACGGAGAGGGCTCGCAACTTGGGTGTCCTCCTGGATTCACGGCTGTCTTTAGAAGAGCACTTGACGGCCGTGACCGGGAGGATTTTTCATCAGGTTCGCCTGATCCGCCAGTTGCGTCCCTTTCTGGATCGGGACTCCCTATACACAGTCACTCATGCCCTCGTCACCTCCCGCCTGGACTATTGTAATGCTCTCTACATGGGGCTCCCCTTGAGGAGCACGCGGAGGCTCCAACTGGCGCAGAGTGCAGCCACACGGGTGGTTATGGGAGCAACATGGCGCTCCCGTGTTAACACCTCTCCTGCGCGAGCTGCACTGGCTCCCGGTGGTCTTCCGTGTGCGCTTCAAGGTTTTGGTGACCACCTTTAAAGCGCTCCATGGCTTAGGACCTGGTTATTTACGGGACCGCCTACTACCACAAATAGCCTCCCACCGGCCGGTACGCTCTCATAAAGAGGGTCTCCTCCGGGTGCCATCAGCCAAGCAGTGTCGACTGGCGGCCCCCAGGGGGAGGGCCTTCTCTGTGGGGGCACCCACTATCTGGAACGAGCTCCCCCCGGAGATACGGAGGATCCCGGATCTGCGCACCTTCCGCCGTGCTCTTAAGACCCTCTTATTCCAGCAAGCCGGCCTGGCCTAATTTTTTCTCCCCTTTCTTTTAAATTTTAAATTTTAATTTGTTTTAAATTTATTGGGATTTTAATTGTCGTGGGCCAATATTATTTAATTTGGTTTTAAATTGTTCTTAACTTTTGTATTTCTGTATTTTATCTTGTGCCTGTTCACCGCCCTGAGTCCTTCGGGAGTAGGGCGGTATACAAATTTAATAAAACATAAACAAACATAAACTTTAAACCTATTTCACTTAGCAACAGAAATTTTGGGCTCAATTGTGGTTGTAAGCTGATGACTACCCTCATAAATCACTGCTTAATTTTTATTCTCAAAATGTTTCTGATAACTCTGATCTTGTAGACATTTTAAAAACTATATTACTTAGGGAAGTCTAAATGAGATGAAGCTGTTAAGGGCACAGGAAATCAAAACAATTATTAAATGATTTGGTTTTGCAATTGATGAGTACAGAATTGGATTTTTATTTTTTTATGTTTTACATGTAGTCAGCAACAAAATCCCCAAAGATGCTCACTCCATGTGTCTATGTGTGCCTGTATTGAAGGGGGGGGGGCACACGGGTGGGGAACCGCTTCTTATTTCTTAAGAGTTTTTCTGGGGTCACTTCCCAAAAGAGCCTGGCAGCAGCGCCATTCACTGGACTTTCAAACTAGCTGCAGCTTCCATTCTCTTCTGTTTTATCTGTACCTGAAAATTTCCTTTATTTTTATTTTCCCCCCGCCCACATTCTTGAAATTATAAGGCATCTTTTAAACATTTAGGAACCCTACCACTATCCTGAAAATCTTCAAAGAACATAAAACATTTCCTTGAAACAAGAAATATGACTTTTGTGTCATGTTTCAGTATTTAGAATGCATAACATAGGGACATTTGCAATGACACCAGACCGCAGTTTTGAGTGCTTTTCCTTATTTGCCTTTTCCGATGTTGTTTTTATTATTATTATTATTATTATTATTATTATTATTATTATTATTATTATTATTATTATTATTTCAATTTGTATACCGCCCTATTCCCGAAGGACTCAGGGCGGTGAACAGCCACAGAATAAAACATATAAATACAAAATTTAAAATAAAGTAAAACGAATTAAATAATTTAGCTGAAAATTTAAAACCCCAATAATTTAAAACCAAATTTAAAATTTCCATTTAAAAAGGGGAAAAAACTTAAGTCAGGCCAGCTTGATGAAATAAGAACGTCTTGAGCGTGCGACGGAAGGTACGCAGATCTGGGATCCTACGTATCTCCGGGGGAGCTCGTTCCAGATAGTAGGTGCCCCCACAGAGAAGGCTCTTCCCCTGGGGGCCGCCAGTCGACATTGTTTGGCCGACGGCACCCGGAGGAGCCCCTCCCTATGGGAGCGTACTGGGCGGTGGGAGGCTATTGGTGGTAGCAGGCGGTCCCGTAAATAACCAGGTCCTAAGCCATGGAGCGCTATATTTATGTTTAGATTTTAGATTTCCACCTGCCCATCTAGCAGTTTGAAAGCATGAAAATGTAAGTAGATAAATAGGTACCATTTCGGTGGGAAGGTAACCAGCATTCTGGGCGCCTTTGGCGTATAGCCATGCCAGCCACATGACCACGGAAACGTCTTTGGACAACACTGGTTCTCTTGACTAAGGAAGGGAGATGAGCACTGGCCCCCTGGAGTTGGACATGAAACCTTTACCTTTTTTATGTTTAGATTGGTTACTAAAATTAGCAGAAATGCTTTTATTATTAAATTATTCATTTCATTTTCATTTTCATTTTATTAAATTTGTATACCGCCCTACTCCCGAAGGACTCAGGGCGGTGAACAGCCATAAAATAAAACATATAAATACAAAATTTAAAATGGAGATAAAACAAATTAAATAAATTTGGCTGAACCATTTTAAAACCCCAATAATTTAAAACCAAATTTAAAATTCCCATTTAAAAAGAGGAAAAGTTTAGGTCAGGCCAGCTTGATGGAATAGGAACATCTTAAGCGCCTTTATTATATTTTAATTATGTTCTTTATAATACAGGAATCACCATACTATGTCATCATTGTTTTTGTGATATGCATTTTTTTATTTCTATATTTTTAAATTTCTATATCTTTTTTTAAAAGGTGCTTGGTGGTTCAGTGGTTAAAGACGCAGAGCTTGTCAGATGGAAAGCTCAGGTTCGAGACCCAAGCGCTGCACGACTGGGTGAGCTCCCGTTACTGGCTCCAGTTCTGCCCACCTAGCAGTTCAAAAGCATGCAAATGTGAGTAGGTAAATAGATACCTCTTTGGTGGGAAGGTAACAGCGTTCCATGCATGCCTCATGCTGGCCACATGATCCCCGAGGCATCTTTGGACAATGCTGGTTCCCTCAGCTAGGAAATGGTGATGAGCCTCACCCTCTAGAGTCCAAAGTGACTGGACAGGAGGAATATTTACCTTTACCTTTTATTTTTTAAATAAATATGTATTTGATCCTGCTTTAGCAGCCCCCTCTCCCAATGTTCATTCAATACCAATGGTTTATTACCCGTGCTGCAGTAAAATTTTGCACATTACACACATCATCAGTAAACAGATTTCTGAGCCACACGAGATTGGTGACAGTCACTGACTCAGAGTGGTTTTCAGAAGAAATGGCAGAAATCTGATTATATAGTAATCAAATTCAATCCTTTTTAACAACTAGTTGAGTAGTGATCCATAAATAGGTATTAAAAGAAATAGAAATTTATTTTCTGGCAAAAGGTTGCAAAAAGACTAATTTTTAGGAAATTCAGAGGAATTATTTTCCAAGAAAGAAAAATGAGTGGGTTGAAGAGGATTCATAAAATCACAGTTGGAAGGATCATCCAGTCCCTCCCAGGTTGAGTACAGGATCTGTAAACCTGTTTTGGACAGATGACCCTCATCCTGCTGTTAGAAGACCTCCACTGAAAGGGAAGTCTAAATGAGTCTCCTGGTTTCACAGCCAGGAAATCCCTCCCACACGGATCCTTGGGGGCCGGGGTTAGGGTCAGGCTGCATCCCAATGGAGTGATTAAGAATCAAATAACCTGGATCAACTTTCCTACAGCTTCAACCATGGTTTGGTCACAACCTTTGCGGCAATAGGGAACCCGCATATTCTTTCTTACAAACCATGTAGATCTAGAGCCCTGGTGGCAGAGCGGTTAGAGAAAGGTATTGCAGGCAAACTCTGCCCACAGCCTGGAGTTGGTAGAATGAGGCCTTCCACAGGAGACTTTCCTCCAAGGGGACCTTGGATGCCCTTGGAGGAAAGTTATGATGCCAGTGGATGTAGTCCACATGACTCATTTTGAAAGCAGAGTATAATATGCGTCTTTGTCAGATGCCTTACTTAGATCAAAAATTGTGGTGATCTCAGTAAAACAAGAGGGAGGGAGGGAGGGAGGGAGGGAGGAGGGGAGGGGAGGGGAGGAGGAGGAAGGAGGAAGGAAGGAAGGAAGGAAGGAAGGAAGGAAGGAAGGGAAGGAAGGAAGGAAGAAGAAAGAAAGAAAGAAAGAAAGAAAGAAAGAAAGAAAGAAAGAAAGAAAGAAAGAAAGAAGAAGAAAGAAAGAAAGAAGGAAGAAGAAGAAGAAGAAGAGAAGAAGAAGAAGGAAGGAAGGAAGGAAGGAAGGAAATGTCATAGCATTTCCACAAACTACTGTAGAAGATGGTTGGTGACAAATCTATGATGGCTCCTATAAATTGTGCATGATGCAACAATAAATTGTAGAATACTTTTAAAAACAAAACAAGATTCTCTAACAGTTCAAACAATAAAGGAAAGGAGATCATTAGAAGCCAAATAAGCTTCTCCAGAAGTACAAATGAACTGAAAATCAAAACAAACAAGCTGCATGATACTGTTGACCTATTCTTGCCCAGACACAAAAATCTGGTACCAGTCTAGGGAACTGAGAGCATCCATGGAGATCAGCAACCCGACCTCCTGATACCCCCGTGTTTAGGGGAGCAGGAGGGTAAACGTCCAGGATACAATCACCACCAGTTGGCCAAACCACCAGAGTTAGACTGGAGAACCACCCCTTTCTGCCCCCAACCACAGAGACAGTGCGGACCAGCCTCATTTTGAAAAGGCTCTCGCATCTGTGTCGCCAAGCTTAACTGCAAAATAAGCCTTTTTTCTGGGTCTGGAGATCATGAGAAGACCCGGATCTGATAGGCAGAAAGAATCTAATGTTGGATGGGGTGGGGTGCAGCATAGCCCAAAGGCCACTGAAAGAAAAAGGTCATTATCTGGAGGGGAAAGCCAACTGTCTTGCCTTCTCTCCTAGAACCTCTGACCACCACTGTCTCCTCTGCCTTCCATAACCACAATCTCACAGCTCTGCCTCTCACTCTCCCACCTGCTGTGCAGCCCGAATCATTCGGCGTGCCTCCTCCTTGATGCTGGGGTTATCCGGGGGTGGGGGCTGCACCAAAGTAGTCACCTCCGTTCCCCGGAACCCAAAGACCATTGGCCAGCCGAGATCCAGCTCTGGAACGGCCAGGTCAGAGTTCACTGGCCAGTAAGTGCCCGAGGAACCGTCCATGTCTGCATCCAGCGGGCTGGAGTCCGTGCTGCCGCCTCCCTCCTGAGAGGCACACTGCGGCTTCTGCAGGTGCTGAGTGATGTGCTCAACCTCTGAGGGGCAGAGGAAGTCCGGGGCTGCCTCCTCCGCCAGGAACCGGTGGTAGCTCTCCTTGCCTTCCTCCGCCAGCAAGTCCAGCGCCAGGCGGTAGTACTCCTTGTAGTGGGGCGGCAGGTAGTTGGGATCCAGAGGGTTGTCCCCTTGGGAGGAGCTCTGCGACCGGCGAGCCATGACAGCAGAAGCCTCTGTGGAGGGAAAGAAGAGGCTGGTTGGTTGAGTGAGCACATATATGGCCCCTCTTGCTCTCCAGAGCCATCCCAAGGGTAGGCCAAGCACTAGCCCTTCGTTTCACGGGGCAGCTCTACTCTTATCACCGGAAGTCCCTCTCCCAAGGGAGGGGCATCCCCACTCAAAAAGGCTATGCCCACTGGCAAGAGAAGGCCCAAGGGGAGGGGGGGCTCTCTGGTTCTTCTGGGCAGGCCCATGCACATTCCCCATCAACACCCACAACAGCCCATCCAATGAAGTGATGCAGTGCAGCAGCTCCAGCAGAAGTTCTGTCAAAGAGGACGGAATGGGACAACTCAGCATGGGACAATTTAACAATTCTATTTAATTATTTAAAATAAATAATAAAATATTTTAATTTCTGCCATTCATATTTTATTCTGTCCCTCCTTTTGCATCCTTTCTTTAATGATTCTATTCCACCATTTCTTTTTGTAATTCTTGTCCTGGGGCAAGTTGTCCCGCGGCAAGTTCGCCAGTTGTCCCACAGTGAGTTGGCCGCAGCAAATTGTCACAGACCCCAAAGAGGACTTTGCCAATTGTGGCAAAGCAGCTTAATCTTAATCAGAATAGGGCTGGAAGGAACCTTGGAGGTCTTCTAGTCTACCCCGTGCTCAAGCAGGACATCCTATATCAGGGCTCTTTCAGGCTTTGCACAGGTCCGCCCTTCGCATGTGAGCACCTGCCTTTCTCTCCACTTGCTGGTGGGCGCCTGGAGGAGCCAACCAAGCAACCTCCTCCCGAGGCCCCAGGGCTCCTCTCTATGACACAAACTCTCACCACTCTCTAACAGAAGGGGAAACCACCCTGCAGAACCTCGCTTGCACTGGTGGAGCTCAAAGGGTATTCCAACTTTTGAACCAGGCAACCTTGCTTCCTTTGTGACTCAAACACCACACTGTGTTTTGTGCAGAGGAAGTATATTTGTGGGCGAGTCCTGCCAGGAAGAACCTGACAGAGGTGGCCTGAAGGGGGATAGGCAGATCCCTGGGCCAGGTGAAAAGTGCCACTGACCAAAAAGGGCATTATGCGTTTTTTGCACCATGGAGAGCTCTTAAATTAGTATTTTAAGAGACAAAGGAGATTCAATTCCAGCAAGCCCACAAAATGGGAGGCAGTAGAGAAACCTTGGCCAGAAGCAAAGATTGCTACACCACCATCTCGAGATAAAATTTTAATTGTTTTGTTTATTGTTTTTAATTAATGGGGCCAAATTTATATATATCTTTTAACTGTATTTTAATATTTGTATTTGATGTTTTTACTTGGCTGTTCACCGCCCTGAGTCCCCAGGGAGAAGGGCGGTATACAAATTCAAAATAAAATAAAATAAATAAATAAAATAAAACAGCAGCTGTGAAGCAGGAAAAGGGGAAGTTGGAGGGCAGAGCCTGAGTGCAGGAGGCCTGGACTGTCCAAGAGCCCTTCTGACCCTCGACCCTCCCCCTCCATTTCTCAAGGCACAGCCTGGCAAGTGCGACTCTTTGAGGGGAATGGAAACCCAGGACTCTCTCCTGAACAATAGCGAGACTGTGGGTGCCCCACATCTCCGGGGCCTTCCCCCCCTCTCAACTAGATCCTCTCAATTCTGTTCCTGGGTGGTGAATTCAGAAATCCCTCAGGATTGAGGTGGAAGAGGAGACAGGCTGAGACCACAAGGTGGATGATTTATTTATTTATTTATTATTTATTATTTAAATTTCTATACCGCCCTTCTCCAGAGTAGGACTCAGGGCGGTGAACAGCCAGAATAAAAAACAATACATACAAAATTTAAAAACAATTTAAAATAATTAAATATTATTGGCCGTAAATTAAAATAACCCAATTTAAAATCAATTTAAAATTAACTCAAGCCAGCCCCGCTAGTTGAAATAAATGGGTTTTCAGGGCCCGACGAAAAATCCGGAGGTCTGTTATTGTATGTATCTCCGGGGGGAGGTTGTTCCAGAGGGTGGGCGCCGCCACAGAGAAGGCTCTCCCCCTGGGGGTTGTCAGCCGACATTGTCTGGCTGCTTGAATATGATGCCATATTCAAGCAGCTTTGTTAAGTTTTAACCATGATTAGACTTTGACTGCCGGTGGCTCTCATTCTGTGCAAATCATACCTGTTTAATTAGCATAGGATTCAATCCACTCTGTAAACACTGCACAAAGGGCTTAAATCAGTGACTAGGCCAAGTGTGCTGTGTGCTTGTTAGGAAGAGTCTGTGCAAAAAGAAAAACCAAGCCGCTGCTTGGTGCCAGCTCCCATGTTGCATGGACCACTTTGGGGAAACCACAGCCTCTGAGCACAAGCAAGCTGGCCCTACAGATCCTGGGAGACGGGAACGCCTTGCTGCGCTTGGCTGGGTAGCCTCCCATATTTTATCACAGCTGTTACACTTCAGGTGTGGTGTGGGGTAGGTGCCAAAGGCCGCAGGGGAGTGACACATGGGAACGTCTCTGTGGTGCAGAGAAAGCGGGTGTGCCTCCTCATGCACCTACATGAACAGACCAGGGAGACTTGCAAAGAGCATTGTCAGAAGACCTAGTGGACCATCGGTCTGCCCCCTTGGAGTTTGTTTTTGACCCACTAGCCTCTTCTGGAAGTTGATTCCAGGCGTCCACTACTTTTTCTGGGAAGTCATACTTTCCACCATGACTTCAGAACTTCCCTCTCGTCAGTTTGGGGTTAAGTCCCTGTGGTTCTTGATTTTTGCTTAATATTGTAAATAATGTCTTCTAGACCCTTATCATATCCTCAATATATTTAAGTTTCAATCACATCCCCTTCCCTTTCCCTTCTGTTCTCCAGGCTGCACATATTCAGTTCCTCCAATCTCTCTTGGTATGTTTTGTCCCTCAGACCTTGGACCATTTTTGCATCTCTGGACTCATTCAGTCTTATCAGTATCTTTTTTAAAGTGGGATTTCCAGAACTGGATACAATATTGCAAATAAAGTCTGACTAAAGCTCTACATAGTGGGATTAGGACCTCCATCTTTCTGCTGGGATCCCCCTCTAGTGATGCATCCCAGAATTTGGTTGGCCTTCACAGCTGCCTGGCCACACATTTTGCCCATTTTGCAGTTGTCTGCCGGGAACGCACCTACATCTTTTCCTTCTGTTGTACCACCCCAATACTGAGCCCTACCAGAGGAGTTTTTCCCCCCCAAGTGCATGATCTTATATTTAGAAACTATGAGCTGCATTCTACATTTTTGACCAATTTTCCTGCAATGCCAAATTGTTTTTTATGTTATGAATACCCCAAGGGATAACAATTCTATTACACACCTTTGCATCACCAACAAAAAGACAAACCTTACCTAATAACCCTTCTGTTATATCACTCGGAAATGTGTTGAACAGATCAGGACCGGGGGCTGAGCCTTGTGGTACACTGCCTCTGATGGGTCTCTGTTCAGATGGCAGCCCATTAACCACCACCACACTCTCGGATCTATCCCTGAGCCAACTTCCTAATCCACTGAGCCACCTGGGTATTAAGCCCTGGCCTGCACTGCCAGGAGTGGTATGATCCTCCTGCCTGTGTTTGTTAGTGACATCTACTTCTGAGAAGACTGAGTACAAGTATTTATTTAGAAGGTTTATTATAGCCAGGGAATCCTTCCCAAGCTCCAAGTTTATTCAATTCAGCTCTCTTAAAGACTAAGGCATTAGTTTGATTTCGTTCTATTGCTTATATCTGTATTATGTTGAATTCCAATATGACATAGTCATTCCCCACCCCCAGACTTCCCCCAATTTCAACCCCTTCTATTATTTTATCTCTCTTAGTAAGAATTAAGCTCAGTATAGTGACCCTCTAGTTCCCTTCTCCTCCTTTTGGGACACAAAGGTGTCTGCTGGTCAGGAGCCTGTTTGCTCTCCCACTAAGTACAGAGTTTGTCTCTCAGTTGATGTCAGGATAGTTGAAGTGCTCCAGTGTGCTTCCTGAATACCTTAGTTAACTGACTATCAAAAAGTATTTTCTTGGTTTGGTTGGGAGGTCTGTGGTTTACATCTATGGCAATGTCATTTTTTTCCCATTAACTCAAATGCATTCAAGATTTTCATTGTTGAGTGAAGTTGTTTTTCGGCTTTTTTGCATTTTAGTAGAGGTATAGCTACTTTTATATACAATGCAATACCTTTTCTGAGGAGTCCCCAAAGTATGGGAAAGTGCTTCTCTTCTTTTTTTCTGGTACATTATAGCAGCCCCTCTCCCACCCACCCCCAAAAAAGTTTTAGACTTGTAGAAACCAGGCTGACCCAATCGGCTTTTCAACACCAGGAAAAGACTTGATTTTCCCTCTGTCTTGGGAAGGGACTACTACAGCCTCGCAGAGTTTCCTGTCTCAGAGATGTTTTTTCTATTACTGTGAAGGTGAGGAGGATCAATAGATATTCTATGTTAATGCTGCCAAACCCCCCTCTGAGGTGAGCAGTGGACATGAGGTCTCCAGGTTAATTCTGTGTGTTGTGGAGAAGGCCCTTCATTTGAATTTCTGTCCAAAACCTTCTCCCTGCCTACTTCATCCAAACCAGTCTTCAGTCTTCAACCTTATTTCTCTTAAATTACCTTTCTTCCAAGCTACAAAGACACCATAACGCATTACATTGTCAGCATTTTCAGCCCCTTTCCTTGTTGATCTCCAAAAGGGAATTTCTCTTTCCCACCACTGTTGCACACTGAGTCCCATCTTCAACAAGTCCTCCACTTAAGACTCCATAGTTTTCTTTGTGGTCCATTACAGACACTCTACCTAATTAGCATCTGGGTGAGGTTAGGGGTCTGCCCCAACACACATAAATTTATGTTTACATAAACAGATGATGTTACATAGTTTGGGCAATGAAACTTTGCAAGAAAACCATAGATCAGAGAGTATCAAGGACCCTTCATTTCAACTCTGAGCTACACATATTCTCCTTAAGAGCTACTTCTGGAGCTCTTCACAGTCTTTTTTTATTTTTATCACCCTGAATAATTGAGCATCATCAATAATCTTGGCTAGCTGATTACTAACTGGCAGGTCAATTATTCCTGCATGGAAAGACCTGAAATGTTTGCTAGTTGCATTCCAGGCCCAATCTGCGTTGTCAGTTTTCAGCTCAAAACCTTCAACAGCTTAAGGCCCAACTACCCATCTCATCTGAAACCTGACCGTCATGTAGATCAAAGGAAAAACTCTCTTCAGGGTGCCCCCATTGAGAGGTTCTTGGTGTTCTCTAAGCTTGGTTGTTTGCTTGCAGATGTTTCATTACACAAACTAGATAACATAATCAGTGCTAGTAAAGAATGGGGTTTGCTTTCAGGCTATGTTCTCGTGGCTTGCCCTGTCTGTGTTTGTGGGGGTGGTCCTGGAAGTTCTTTGGTTGGGCTGCTTACTGTTAGCTTGCTTTACAGTTCCTTGATTGGAATGTAGTTTATCTCTTGATTGTTCCTCTGATTTTAATCTTGGTGTTAATCTTATGTTCATCTGGGTTTTGACTGCTGGTCGAGGTGTTTTGAGTTTTTTGTTCCCTTTTTGGTTTGTCGATTGCCTCTTTTGCAAGTATATAGATGTTGCACTAACAGAGGGATAGAATCAAGATCATGTGAAGTATTCGTTTCACTTTAAAACCACACCTAGAATACTGCATCCAGTTTTGGTCACCATATTATAAAAAAGATGTTGAGACTCTACAAAGAGTGCAGAAAAGAGGAACAAAAATGATTAGGGGAATGGAGATTAAAACATATGAAGAACGGTTGCAGGAATTGGGTTTGTCTAGTTCAATGAAAAGAAGGACTAGGGGTGAAATGATAGCAGTCTTCCCATATTTGAGGGGCTGCCACAAAGAAGGGGGGGGTCAACCTATTTTCCAAAGCACCAGAACACAAGACAAAAAACAATGGATGGAAATTAATTGAAGAGAGAAGCAACCTAGAACTAAGGCGAAGTTTCCTAACAGTGAGAACAATTAACCAGTGGAACAGCTTGCCTTCAGAAGTTCTGGGTGCTCCATCAGGGGAGGCTTTCCAAAAGAGACTGGACAGCCACTTGTGTGGAATGGCATAGGGACTCCTGCCTGTACAGGGGTTGGACTACCCTGTTTCCCCCAAAATAAGGCATCCCCTGATAATATGTCCAATCGGGCTTTTGAGCGCATGGCAATAAGCCCAAGCGCTTACTTCAGGGTTCAAAAGAAATATAAGACAGGGTCTTATTTTCGGGGAAACACAGTAGAAGACCTCCAAGGTCCCTTCCAACTTTGTTCTTCTGTTGTGTATAAGTGTCTGTTGATGGCCGATTTGTCAGAGTGCCAGGTTGCCAGGAATTCTCTATAGAGTTTTTGGATTTGGCTTGGTTTAGGATGGTCTCACAATTTCCCAGTTGAAATTATGGCTAAGTCTGTCCATATGTTGTGAAATGAAAGTGTTTTCATCATGTCTTTTCATCATGACTGCTAGTTGATGTTCATGGATGAGTTCTGCTGGTCTTCTGCCTGCTTGTCCTATGTAGTGGTTGCTGCGGTCTTGACACTGTATGTTGTAGATGACTCCTGTTTTTTTTTCTTTTGGGGCTGCTGGGTCTTTTGGTTTACTTGGGATGTTCTGGAGGGCTTTAGCTGGTTTGTATGCTGAGTCCATAGGATTGTAATTGGTGGTTTCTGAAAGGTCTCTGATGTATTGTAGTGTTATCATTTCTGCCGCCTTTGTTGGTTGTGCGGTAGTAGGTTGAGTGCTCAGGCACTTTTTGATTGGAAGTTGTATGGATATCCATTTTGTCAGATGTTGTGTAGATTATGTTTGTTTTCCCTGCTGTTCAGGGTTGCTGCAGGGTGTTTGTGCTTGTTTAAATAGAGTTCTTCCTTAATGGTTGTTTTTTTCATGTTGGTATGTGTTTCTATTAAACTCCAGACCAAAATTTCATAGAAATCTCTTCCTATTATCACTTTATCATAAATGTACTGATTCAAAGTAGGAGAATTTACATTGGTCCATAACCGTAGCCATTGCAATCTCTGCTATTTTAACCCATAAAATTAAATAATACCCATTTACATCAGTGATAAGTTATACATCAATTGGGCACCAAATGGCCACACCTTTAGCTTTTGTCAAAGTGTCTGTGAGATAAACCTGTCCCACCCAATCCTTCATTAGTAGAGATTTATCCTGTTCCATTAAATGAATCGCTTGTAAATAATAAGAAATACCTGCCCGTAATCATTCTAAATATGCTAAGGCTACATTTTTAGATTCTCACATTGAAACTAACTCCATCCATAAATTTTATTTTGGCACACTTCTCAACAATTTCCCAATACCAATTGATTTTATGACCTGTAGCATTTAGCAAGTATCTAATAATAAACTCTTCTATATTTAACTATTATGTTCTAATACTGCTCACAGATACAGAATCTCCACATTCAAACATCATTTTATTACATATAAAATCTATATGTAAAAGAAAAAAAAAGAAAAAACCTGATTACCTGAACAAAAATAAAAGCAAACAACATTATTAAGGAAGAATCCTCCCCCCCGCCCCCGAACAAAAAGAATGAAAGAACTTGATAATGTTCCAAAGGAGATGGCCTGGTGCTTCCTCTCTCTGAAAATTAGAAGACAGTTTCAAACACTGCTAGTTGAAATAAAAGGGATTCCATTGCTATTGAGTGGACACCTCTTCCAAGCAATGGTAGAAGGAGCCACGGAAGGCCATGTTGAAGGCCACAAAGAGCAGTGTGAAGCACCTTATACCCCCTGAAGTTCTCTCCTCCGCTTGGAGTCACCCAAGTTGGTGACCATGTGTGGCACGAAAACACCAACCCCTCTTGGGCCATCCTGCCTCTTCCATATTTGGCTTCGCTGGATGTTCCAGCAGAGCAGAAAGTTACAAAGTTCCGGAAGCCTTGAGTGGGCCTCCACAAAGGGAGCATCCAGGATTGAGCAGGAGCTCCTGGCAGAGCAAGGCCATGGCTACCCATTTCACTAACTGGATTTGGTAATTATAGTTAGTCTCCCATTCACTTTTATCAACCATCAGACTTACCCCATCACTTATTTACTTTTGGAGGTATTAGCTAAGGTTTCCCAGGAAGTCAGAAGCAAGCCCTAACCCTCCTCTCCTTCACTACATTTCTACCTTGGCTGCACTCCAGGAGCTCAAAGTGGTCTCCAGGGTCTCCCCAACAACAATTCAAAACGACCCTGCGAGCCTCCAAGCCTGAAGTGCTCTTGAATGTGACCACAGCCCCAGACTCAAGGTCCAGGCCGAACCCCTGCAAGGCAGAGCCCCTTGCCAATTTCATCGGTCTCGGCTTCCCTATCCTGCCCCAGGCAGCCTGCCCTCTCCATTGTTCCTGGATGGGGGGGGGTGTCTCATGATCTGCACTGCCCCAAAGCCCCCAGGACTGGCCAAGCCTTCCAGAGACACTTCAGGTTGCTCAGAGGGAACAGCCAAGGATCATTTACAACATTCCCTTCCGGGGAAGTGAGTAGATAATTAACTTGGGAAAAATGCAGAACTAAAAATTAAAACATGTACTCAGTAAGCTATTCTATTAACAACAGTTAATGTCCTAGTTTTAAAAACC